GAAGATACTCCTCAGCATCCTAGTGGCTGGAGTGAGTTTTTGGAGGCCTTGATAGATTGAGTGTACCTCGGTCCAGATTATTCTACGTTAGATACAGATTCATTCGAAGCAAGACCTTAAACGGAGAGCGGCGTCAGGGAGGACGCTCAGCCCCGGCGAAGGAGCCCTCCTCATCTTCTCGTCATACGAAGTTGAAGACGGATATTTCGGGAACGCAGACGCTTGCTTTTCTCTCGCGTCGCGAGGCGTTTCTAAAATTGAATTCCCGTGTTGGAGAAGTACTCTGCTCCCTGTCCGTCCCTCCGAAGCACTGCTAACAGTCGGGAGCGGCTGCGGAGCGAGAAGAGGGCAGCACCTATGAACATCAAAAACACATGAACACTTCAAGACCAGAATATAACATTGTTCCTCCCACGGGAAGTAGCTGGGAGACATGTCGTCGAGAAGCCAGGAGATCGGGACATTCCGGTGAAAGCACGAAGGACACTCAGAGACAGGAGACGAATTTCGAGTGAGGCTCCCAAAAATATCCTCAGAATTTGTGGAAACTAGCTCGCAGTGTGAAAGAGAAGAAGCGTCAAGGACATTTCCGTCCGCCCCGAGAGAAGACCAAATGCAACTTGCCCTTCGACCCCATATACCGCCGCTCGATTGACGTCAGGCGTTGCGTTCCTCCCTCCGTCATATGAGGCTCGGAAACCAGACAAGGAGAGCGTAGCTCTCGCTCGTTCCCGTAGGACAGAATCGCCTCCGATCCAGCTCCGGAAAGAGGCCTGCGGTAGGAGTGAGATTGGATCGGATGAGTGGGCAGCTGCTCGCGGGTGCGCGGCCGTAGTCGTTCTCGCAGTCGCTGACCCTTGAGCGTCGTCGCCGTCGTCCCGCTTTTCGAGTAACATTGATCTTCATTCGAGCCAAGGTCCACGAGAAACTCCGTCTGGATTGCCGGTAGGAGAGGTAGTGAGCAACTTGATCGCGAGCCAAGATCGTCGTAGTAGCTCTCCGCCGGTGGCCAAGGTAGGCGCATCAAGTTTGCTTTGCAAGGCACATATTGACGTTGGTCACGCAGATCAGAATCGAATAGCCGATAGTCGATGTGAATCCAGGAGTGCTGCTCTTCCTTCGTTCGTCTCGGAAACGCGGAATCCAGGAGTGCTGCTCTTCCTTCGTTCGTCTCGGAAACGCGGAATCCAGGAGTGCTGCTCTTCCTTCGTTCGTCTCGGAAACGCGGTCCCGATGCGACCGCGTTTCATCCACGATGAGGGTCGTTCCTGTGAGTCTTTGAAACCGAATATTCACCGGCCACCACCGAGACAAGCTATGTGTCTGAAACGATTCCCCCCCTCTGTGAAGGCCGCGGTAGCGACGCCGTGCGTCTCATTGATTCTCCTGCGAGGGAACAACGTTCGAGCGGATTCCAGTCGGCTTCTGTATACAGCGGGCTGGAAATGATGACGGCAGCATGTAGACAGGACAGACTGTGGAATCTCGCAACAACAAAGACTTAAGGGTCTTTGTTGACAGCAGCCATTCGAGAAAGCCGCAGCCGCGTCGACGCCATCCCGTACAGCAAGAGGCGTCGTCGTCGTCGTTCAGAGCAGATGCGCCGAACGAGGGATGGCATCCGCTTCGTCGCCGAGGCTCCTCGACTATTATCACGATCTCGACTTGTTTTTCCGAACGCCGCTCCTTTTAGAAAAGTTCCGCCGGCGTCGTTGAATAGCCTGAACGTCCACGGCACACTCAATGGAGTCGAACGAAAAACCGAAACCTCTATACGACTTTCTATGTTCTGTCAACTCAATCTTTACGGGCGTTCGTGGGGCTCGTACCGTGTTCATCGATGTAATTCGAAGGTGACATTCAAGCCTGTGCTATTCAGAGGCCCTCTGTGCCGTCGGAGCGTTGCGAGCTCCGCCGTCGTCCTCCTCCACGCGAGTGGGCTTTCAAATCTCGGAGAGGGCAATCTGTACAAGCTTTCGTCAAAGCGAGGAACGAATAAATTGAAGAACGGGAGGACAGTGAAAGTTCTGACATGGCCCGGTAAGATGCTGGAGAGCGGCCTCTGCTTTCTCCCGGAGGGTTCCTCCTGCCTTTGCCCGAGTTATACCGCTCCCAGGGGAGGATTACCGGCCCAGCGCGATCCGTCGTTTAGCCTGGTCGCGGTGCAACGATGTTATCATAATTCTCCATTCGCCACATGAAACCCATATATGCTAGCGGATCTAGTGGGAGCTTGTCGAGGATTCAGGGTACGAAGGAGTTTCATGATTTCCTTCCGAAAACAAGCGTAAAGGCATGAGGCGGATCGAACTCCAGAGAACTTGAATTCGGTGCCGGAAAAGTCCTGAGCGAAGCTACGGGGGGGGGGAGGAACAGACAGAAACGATAATGACACATGTGGAAGGTTCCCGTCCCTCAAATTCTTCGGTCCGACTGACCATAGCACCGGAAAATTTCGGGCAAATGGGGACGTTCCCGGAGAACGGAATGATGGCCGTATATGAGACTCCAGCGAATGGGAGAACATTCAATCCAGGCGCCAGAAATGTCTTCTGACCCACAACGGACGCAGTCTAGCAAGTATGTCGGTTGTCAGGGAACCGATGATTAGGCGAACCAATACCGAGCTGTCTTAGGATAGATGGATGAAAAACTATCGATGGTCGCCTGTCAGTTTGCTTTGTCCTCCGAAGAAAGAGAATCTAGTCCTCGGCCGGAGCGGCGCCGACGGAAAGGCTTCGATATACTCGAATGACGATATCCGATCGACTGTATGAGGCACTCTGTCCCTACGGTCCAATTATTTTTCCATCAACTCAGAAGTCGGGACGGCGCTCGGCGCCAGCAGACCCTAGGGTCCGCCGGGAATCATGGTTCTCGAGAGAATGTTTCGAAAAATCATCTCCCGAATATTTTACGGAACTCTCCGGGTAATTGTACCTATCGTTCATCTATTCGACAGCAACTAGCATGGCCCGATGATGTTTTCTAGTGGCTCCCTTAGAGAATTCGCGAGGGACGGTGCTCTGGTTCAGCAGAAGGAGAGAATGAACTGACTGAGTCGCAGACATCTCATTTTGAGGGAACGAGTACGACTTTCCCTGGCGAATCGGCCCGAAGCTTAGGAGCAGTCACCGGAAAGTTTCGACTCGAGCCGCTAGGCCCGTTCCTCAAACCATGATTGTGCTGAGACAAACTGTCCAAACTTTGATTATTTCTCAGATTAAGGATCCTTCGTTCGGCTGTGCGAATGTTCTTCCTTCATTGTGTGCCGTCCGTGGTCACTGTCTCGTGTTGAAAAACTTGTTCAAAAGTGTAGAAAGGAGTCCGCAGCCGGGATTAAGAATTCTTCTTCGAGCCTGCGACGATTCCTTCCCAGTACAGCTTGAACATGCGAGACCTGGTGGGATAGAGCCGTCTGGCGCATTATGTCTTTTGAGCGATAAAAAACCCTCTGAGGATCCGAGTCGTTAGAGGTTCTGGAACAGACTTGGTTTTAGACACTATCTCGCAGCCCACCTGCAGTCCGCTTGTCTTCGATCGAACGGTTTTGCCGAATAGAATGGGGGGAGGCCTCAATTGCTCGTGACCTCCATTGAGATAAGGCTCAAGCGGATTTCATGGATCCACTCCTACATTTTTCTGCATGCGACCGAAGACCTGAGTAACGGGCTATGACGAACGGCTTTCACGGAATTGAGGTTCAATGAGACAGCGGTCAAAAATGTCGAGGGAAGCGGATTCCGTGGGACTTGCCCTGACTGCCAATGAGACAAGTCGGATGACATTCGCACAGCGATGTCGACTAACAGAGTGGTCCTACGTGATTAAGGTCCATATGGTCTCGAACAGCACCCCGGTTCTCACTCTCGACCGCGTTCATATCGGGGAGCCGAAGCATCAAAACTTCGCCACCTCGGCCCTAGAAGCACATTGCAATGGATCGCTGTCGCGATCGGAGTTGTGCGTCCCGCTCCTAAATCCCATGCACGGCGACCGCTCAACCCCGTTCCCGCTCCGGAGCGAAATCAAAAATCATTGTCAGCTATCCATGCGGTCCCGAAAAGGGAGCTGATGCTAGGCTACGGTGCTCGGCGATCGGGGTCCACCGGAGTCTCTATTTGCGCCGCGAGTTCTCGAATGTGAAAAGTTGTTCAATATGGGGCGCTCCCATAATATCCGTTGATAATAATTTTATATGATTTTCCGCATTCGACGAAGCTGCTCCAGCAACACCTGTTCGGATAGTTGATTCGCCCGGGGCTCGTCGACAATGAGTAAAATGCGTCTGGAGATGGACGGGGCCGCCAGGAATATTTCACGCGTCGTTTGACAAGCCCGAATAAGGTCCAAATTCTATTTCGTCACCGACTGCAAAGTTCTGTAAGGATCTGTAGGAGCCTGGAGCAGGATGCTCAGCCTTCCTGGCGTTCCCTGTCGACCGAATGAAATTTGATGAACTCTGATTTGCCTCCGAGCGCTTCGGCCGTTTCCCTTCCGCAAGTTTCGTGAAGAGACGGCCGGTCGGGTCTCCGAGTGAATCGAGTAGCAGGCCGATATTCGGGGGGGGAGCCTCCATTGAGGGGAAAGTCTCCATGTTTCTAGGGATCGGGACTCCTCATCCTCGGACTCCAAGAGGGACCCGTGGTTTGCTCGAAAATTGATGCAAGTTCTCCAATTTGGATAGAGTATTAGCCATCATTGATGACCGTGGAGAATCATTATTTTGGGGAGAGAGGAAGGTACCGTGCGCTGACTCGTCGCACATGAGGATCTCGTTCACTCGATTGAGCAAAATGACCGGATGCCGCGGAATGTGGGTCATGGGAAAGAATAGGTGCTCATTTTGAGTTTGAAGTTTTCTTCGGTCTCGAGGCGATCATTGTCTCCGCCTCCTCGCCCCTCACTTGCTCCTTGGAGACACTCCGGCAGATTATCTGGAAAACAACGCCGAGCCAGGCGACGGCTATTATACCGCAAACGAGTGGACACACTGAACCATGCGAGTGTTTGTCGTGCTTTTCTCGGTGTCTGTGGTGAGTTGAACAACGTCCCTTTTCATGTCGGCTCTTGGAATTCGCAGAGACGGCAACGAGCCACACAATCAGAGTCCCTCTTGAGGCGAAACCACCTACAAAGGCAAGCACATCTCAATGAAGACTCGAACGAGTGATCGTTCCCTATCTGAGAGTTATGCGTGTCATCTTGTCACTGCATTCGTCTCCCCACGCGTCGAGCATGGAGTCCAGTGTTTGGCGACCGATTCGTTTTCCATGGGCGACAACTAGAGGGCGGAAAGGATCTCAAGCACCCTTCCGGTGAACATGAACTTCAGCATCTCCACACGGTCGAGTGCTTCCAAAGGAGGATCCGTCGGGGAACGAACTGATTTTTCCGGTTTTGAGCAATACCGCCAGGGCGACTTCGAAGCCCATCGATAAGCCCTGCCAAATCTTGAGGGGAGCTTTATTTGTTTTTGTTCTTATCGACCGGGGAACGGCTTGTTTGGCCGAGTTTGCGCCAATCACACAACGCGGTTCTTTTCTAAGAGAGGAAAGCGTACCAAGGCCGGATAGTCTGGCGTCCGCCAAGCCACGATGCGACCTAAACGAATCAATCTCCATGATTACAACACATTAAGACCAATGATCGTTAATCGCCATTGATGCCATAAGCTTCGCAGACAACTCAGCGGTGGCCCTATTCCGCGAAAAGAGACCGGTCTTCTCCGACACCTCATTGAACGATGCCAATGACGTAAGATCCACTTTTCGCGGATCATTTCTATCTGCCGAAATTAAAAAAAAACTTTCCTGCTCGGTTGACTCGGTAGCCGCTAGCGACGCTCGAACTGAGAATTAGGATCCGAGATGAGAAATTCGGACACTGATTCTGCGATGAACTTCTGAATGACGATCGCCGGGTTGGAAACGAGGACTTCCTCGGCGATCCGAATTAGGCGACAGGAATTCGGAATATGGAGGGGGTCGCATGAGGCTTCTCTCCAGGGGGCAATTATAATTTCTAAACTCGGGTTCTCATCTCTTCTCCTCACAGCTCGGGGACGAGGCCACAGAAATCCCGAAATCTGTGCGCGCAAAGTACAAGGAATGTCGAGAGATGGCTCTGACTCTGTCTGGCCGGGAACCCACCGTTTTTCCGTGGGAGAATCCCACGAATGAAAACATCATAGATCTGAGTTGGACGTACGATGCCAACACAATATATTGGAACGAAACCGACGCTTTCGAACTGCGCATCTCAACCACGGTTCGTGCACTCTGAGTCTATTCCAATGTCTGCCCTGTCAGGTACGAGTCTATGCCGAGCGAGGGACGTGTCAAACGGCTTCAAGGACTTTTCTCTTTTCCGAAAGATTCCTCTCAAACCTCACTCAGTCACGGCTCTCAGTCAGAGCGTTGGATTCCGATCCGCTTATCTGACCGATGGGGCGGAAAATATTCCGACGGCGATCCTTCTTGGGAGCAGTTTCTCCCTCCCGCATGCATGGGGACCTGCCAATGACCAATGTGGGCAGAAAGCTGGTTGCAGTCCTCTGAGTGTCTATTTGCCAAGATCAAAGTTCGTCTTTGGGAAAGTTTCCTCCGAGCCGTGCTCTTCGCAAGGGACTCAGTTCTATCGCAGCGCTGGATAAACATGCAGAGCCCATCACACTACGCGGATCATATCATTGGTTCTGACCTGACTGAGAGCCTTCTCTTTGAAGCCCACCCTCAAAAAACAGGCTCTTCTGGAAGCCTGAGAGATGTTAGCCCGCTACGACTGAGATCATACTGGTGTGCGATCCGACCTTTTCCACCGTGTGGCATACTCTGGGAACGACGCTGAAGATGAAAGTACCATACGCTATGAATAGTTCACTGTCTGAGCGAAAAAGATACAGAGCTGTCCCATCCAGGGCACGACATCGAAAGACTACGAGCAGAAAGATCATGTGTCCATGGCCACATCGGGAGGCACGCATGTAGGAGCGCCGCGGATGTTCCATCCGAAACGCTGGAGTGTGGACCAAATACCTTTGAGGAGACTTTTCAATATTCCGACCGTAATAATCGACGTGAAGAAAAAGGTGAATATCGTTTTGTGGATGCTTGTAGATGCTTCCAAAATGCCTGCTTCCTATCGCTGAAATATTTTCTAGGTGGTCAAGGATAGAAGTTACTATCTAAGTGTTCGCGACCTTCAGCTCTGGGAAAACGCACATGGCCTCCTGCCAAACCATTCGTTGATAATCATCCGCACCGGACATCACATGGTACGGCCATCATGGTGTTTTTAGATCGCAGAGCGATTGAAACGACTAGAGTGTTCACTCTATCGAGGGCCAAGAAGACTTGGAGACCTCGTCCACGATTCCAGAGTGCGACTACGAGGGCTCTGGATCTTGGTCAATTATTGAGATGGATGGCTCGACTGAAGAATAATTTCACATCGCCTAATTCTGACAGAATCTGTTCCGCAGCTCTATGGTAATCGCGAAGGGTATTTCGGACATGCGGCCAATAGATCCCGAGTGTTCCCGACCATGGGAGCCAAAGCAGCACGCTGGCTCGTTCGGAATCGGAATATCGTTGGCGTGGGGATTGATTCTCCGTCGGTCGACAATCTGACGACATTCCTCGGTCATCGGTAGAGTAATGATTTCATTTGTAAGCGGCTTTGCTCCTCTCGTTGCAATCAGTGAGTCGACTCGATGCAGCCAACCGTCGAGCAGCTCACGACAAGCGTCTCATTAAATCATATTCCCTGAGCCTACTTAAAAACCAGCGTTGACGCACCAAATGAGCTCGGTCGCAAGGACGGAGCTCTCGAGCACACTCAGCGGAAACTCTTAAAAACTCCGATTCATTCCGCAAATCGAGTCGGAGCACTTCGTCGTGAACTCAAAAATTGAGATCCCATCCAGCCGGGCTCGAGAGCCATCAGGGGATCGCGGTCTCCTCTTCGAGATTTGAAAGCGGATCCGGAAGACGGAGCTGACAACTCGAGAACGTTTGATGAAGGGAAGATGAGCCGAAGAACCTCGGAAAAAGTAATGCGCTCCCGATTTTTCCAGCGCGTTGGCGAAGAGGAACGCGTACGTGATTAAGAACTTGGCCAGTCACATCGATCAAGCCCCGAAACGAGGAACGTTCGCTTTTGTTTTCCCGATGAAAATCGGGGGGGCCAGCGCAGCGCCAGCTCGCGTGCTGCTTCGTGTTCCCCATTCTAGGCCGAAATCGACGACCCCGAATCCAGCAATATCCTAAAGGTTGAATCCACATGATTGTGCAACTTCCGTCCTTCTCGGAGGATCGGAACGTGTAATAAAAAAAGTTGTGCGCGAAGGGGGGATTTTCTTCTTCGACCGACGATCTAAGCTTACTCCGTGTGCTATATTCTGGGGGATTCGATCAAACTCGGTATCAGTGTTCCGTGTTTCTTTGATTGAGCGAGATGAAATCGCAGATCGGGGGAGCAGACAGCATGGACAGGTCGCAGAGGCAGGTTTTTCTCGACTACAATTCCATCGGCAGGTAGGAAAGCGGCTAATGCAATCTTGCTGCGAGCAACTCGAGCTGTCTCGAGTGGTCTACTTTGTTCGCGGATATCGAGCCGCACGACGGCTGTCTTCGATTGTTGTAGAGAACACTACTGCGATTGAAGGGTACCTATGTTCTTGAAGTTTTGCTAATCGAAATTGGGTAGATAGGAGAGTTTCGGCTCTGAGGCAGCTCGATTTAAGACTCCGGCATCATTCGTGAGCCCGGCTTCCAGTGCACCCGATCAGTCGGATCACAGATTTACGCCTTATCCCCGCTTTGAACTCCGAATCTTGATAGTAATAACGGTTGAAGCCCGGGAAACGGGGCCCGATCGGAGTTCACGAGAACGGGGAGAATCTATCCATTGGAATCACTCCAAAGCGGGATTGGGAACCATCTTGTCGCCATCATGGAATGTAAATGAAAAGCACGTAGTCGAAGCTGCGACCCTGCGACGAAGACCCGAGGATCACATTTTGCTCACCAAAGGGAAATCGATACAGCAGCCATCCCTTCAAGGAACGGCGACAGAGCTGGTGCTGGATGGCGCTGGCGAGGATGTAGGCTCGTAGGCTCCCTGGAGCTGGAAAAGGTGGATTCTGTGTTTCGATTGATTCGCCCAGGAGATTCGTACCGATCTCCAGGAGACCGCTAACAATGACTTCTTACCGGAATTTCAATTTCGCGATCTCAGGTTGGATTCCCAGAGCACTGTGTAGACCTATGTAGGACCGATCGGAGCTGGAGCCCTACGCGAATCGTACGACCGCTTAGATCGGATGGAGCGACTCGAATGGAATCGAGTCGGCTTCCTTCGACAGCTCAGACGACCCGAAATATCGACGACGGCGGGGATAACAAGTCTTACAAATATGCTGCGATTCCGCTGTCGGGGGATGCGGACAGATTTGAACACCCGTTGAAGGCTCATCGGGGTCGAAACGTTTCGTAGTCTTGACTTTCAGGTGCTAGGAAACCGCGCCGAACGATTCCCAAAAGCCTGTCTACTGCTGCTTTCCAGCTTCATCCGAGAGAGGTAGATAGTCGCGGTGCGCCGTGACCAGAAAGCAATTTAGTGGTGAAAAGTGAAAAACGAAAGTGTGCGGCGCGTACAGAGTACCCTCCCCAGGAACGAATGATTTCTCTGCGGGGAGAAATTGTCTGTGGTCACCGCGGCGGAGAACTGTTTACTTGGTTTTCAGACGTTCCCTTGTCCATTCCTGAAGCTCGAGAGGTGCAGCCGCGGAGTCACGTCAGCAGTCGCGTTGGTGACGACAAGAGGGGATGCTAGGGTACTCCGATCTCCCACCAGGCTTTCAGGCGCTTTGGATCAAATGATGCGGAGCGGAGCCTCCCTCTACGAGCGGATGCGCCGAGGTCCACTCCCGCATGGTTTGCCCCCGCGCCATCCCGCTCCGCTCATATGGAAAAAATGTTTGAAGCCTGGGCCATGACGGATCAATCGTACCCAGGGAGGGGAATCTCCGATGATGGGCTTTCTCTGAAATCTGAGAATTCAAAAACCCTTCGTAGGGCTTGACAATGCACAGTTTATTTACATGGAGCATTGGAAGGAGATCTCACACATGACTACAAGTCCAATTTGAAATTCGAGTCCGCGGCGAAAGCCTCAGCGATCTGAAAATTGGTTCCGCGAGCGATTAGCTCGATACCGATTTTAGTATGCCCCTCATTCCATTCGAGGATGCTCATCTCCATACAGAGTCAGTGTCATTTTACAGAAGAAAACGGAACTTTCGGTCGAGTTCCGATCGAACCTTCGTGATTGTTCCCGCTGACTGGCACTGGCGGAGAATCACCGCGGGAATCGCTTTCGAGCCGCGTTTTGCTCCCGACAATGAGCACGCCATTGCAGCCAGAGTATCGGCGTCACCTCCGCATAAGAGGGCTAGTTCCAATGTCCGTACGAAAGCGTTGTCCGTCTGCGAAACAAAGCCAGAGCGACGTCAAGCTCCGACTCCCTTCCGGATCTCATTGATTTATTCGAAAAAACAAAACTACCTGAACGTACCTTCTTAATGACTTGGATGTCTTTCCCGAACTGCTCACCCAAAATGTAACACATTATGGACGTCACCACCGAACCCTGCGCCGTCATGTCATTGCCGAGAACTTTCGGTATCGTGGAGGGGTTTAGAGGATCGGAATCCAACAGCAATTTACGGGCGGCATGTAATTTGTACGTGAGGGGTCTGCGGAAAGAAATTGAGTTTCTCAGGCTGCGAAGTTCCGGGAACAGACAAGTGACGGGTAATTTCGCGAGTACTTGAAGTTAGTTTTTCACCGGTGGCGATAATTCAATCGTATCGTTGGAAAGTTTCGGGCTCCTTTCAGCGCCCGCCGTCTTATTCGCGTTGGAGCGAGAGAGAACCTTGTCGCTCACCTGAAGCCGTCCAATTCCTCTTCTATGGCTTCCATTTTTCCGATTAAGGTATCTAATAGAGTTGTTCCATTCAAAGGCACGTCGGGCTCGGCGTGCAATGCGTGCCAGACAGCCAAATTGAAGAGGACCGCCGCACAAATGCCTGTGGGATGCGCGTGAGTCATCTTCGCTTGGAGAATCGTTGTCTGGAATGGAAGCTTTGCGTAAGCATGTTTCACAGCCAAAATCAATTCCGAAAGCTCTCCAAATCAAACGTTGTCGTCAAGGCCGCGCACCTCTATCATTCGGTCGAGGTCGTCCTTGTAGAGGATGGCAACGGGAGCCGCTCGCATCGCCGCACCGCTTCCAAAGCTGCCCATTCCACCGAATTGCTCGTTCGCGGGCCCGTAGATGTCCTGGTATCGATTTTGCTTCCATTTTCGGAAAATATCGCGAACGGCGTCCCCGTACTCTTTGTCCAGCTGCTCGTTCCCGAAGTACTGCTCGGTTAGCCTGAAATGCACATTCAATGTCAAAAAACGGATGCCCCTATCGATCTGCCCGATTCGTCGCGGATCCAGGGATCCCATTCAGCTTTTCTGAGAGGTCCTGCGCTCCCCGAATTTCACTTCGAGTTCCAGACTGCAACTTTCGAGTAAAACGAGGCGTGCGTTCGGTTGAACGGAAACTCCGACTGACTGACGGACTGACGAAGTGCGTCGCTCCAACTCTGTCACATAACAGTCGAGCGGGGGCGATGATGGTCAATTTCGATCGGACGAAGCTCTTCGAGTCTGCGTGGGCGGTGGGACCGTAAAGAGGTATCTCTGTTCTCCTATGCTGTAATCATGCGGGCGATTCGGCAGTGACATTCTCGTGCGCGTCGTCGGAAATTTTTCACGGCGCCAGATAACGCTACGTTCGATTCAAAGCCATATTCGAGTGTTCTTGAACGGCAGGAGTGTGTCTAGCAGTTTTGACCAGACCTCCACCAAGTGGAGGAGTCACATCGATGATATCAAGCAGAGCACTTCGAATGATCATGCTACTGTGGTGTCGTTCCAATTGTGAGATTCGTCATGAAACCTACCTAGTGGCGACATCGCGTGCATCGAATCTCCCTTTGCAAAGGAGACTTTTGGCCAATTCCATCGTTGTGGCTGTGACGTCTGTGTAACAGTACTGGCCTCGGGGACAGCCTAATCGGGGGAAAAATCCAGCTCAGTCCCAATCGGGAGTAGTTCTACGCTATGCATATGCAGTATAAACGGTGAGAGCCGGCTCCAATGAACCCCTAAGAGGGTGTTCCGGAGGACGCCTTCACTCATGCAACATAAGCCTTGGGGATCCGATCGCTGCGCGAGCACAACGCCAGAAAAAAATCTGCTCAAATGGTCTCGTCGCTTCGAAGATAAGAACCTTTCGATGCACGATGATTCCTTCCAGCCGACGGTCCAGGGAGCACTGAATTTGTTCGTATGTTGTGGAGGAACGTGTGTACATCCTTGTCAAAGGAATCATCTCCCTCTGGATGATCGAAATTCGAATCAAACGGTGCGCCCATGCAGTCACCAACGAGTCCGCCGAGTAGACATCCTATGTATTTGTCAACGTAAACCGTTTCACGATCGTCTCTGGGCGAAATAGCCTGGAGGGAAATCGATAGAAAAGCTTTCAGAATCACCGTCGGCACTCGGATATATTATCCGTTATGCTATGATCGCCACCCTGCCGGCTGCGGCTCATCCAAAACTCACCCTTCTCCTGGGGATCTCCATCGACTCAATGATGCTCGGCCAAGGGGGCATCACAAGATGAGAGCGGGTAGTCGAGGCTACACAAGGTCGAACGTGGGAAAACTCAAGTGGATAGCTCCACGCTATCGTTCCAGTCGTCTTTTCCAATGGGTAACAGATGATTCCTGCCGCCGATCTCTCGAATATATCAGGAGGGCAGGCAGAATGAGAAGGAAAGAGAGAGCTCCTCCTGCGGTGAATCACGCAGAAGCACTCCGACAAGACGTCACCGACGTGGACGTTATCCTTTCATTCTCAAAACGACGACGATTGAATGAGTTTATGAAGCTGCAACGGCGCGGCGCCAATGGCAATTACCTGCGGAGATCAACGCGAAACCTCTCCCGACGCTAATAAAAACGCCTTGGAGCGGAACGCCAGTCCCGTCTGTGGCCGAGAAGCTCTTGACGGCGTCGCGTCGTCAATGAACATATTGACGCTCGTACGAAGCTATGCTTTCGAAACGTTATTGGGCAGCACTCAACGTTCTCACGTTTCGCGCAACGGAACGGGGATTCCACGATCCCGACAGGTTTCGTTCTAACCGGTTACCCCGAGAGTGGGTATTGATCCTGATGTCATATGACCAGCCTGACGGCTCATTCGCCTCTCGGAGATCGTATTTCGCTTTTTCCCGTGGAAGCTTCTTTCGGATTGGAGTTTATAGTCATACTCTGCAAAAAGTCATCAGCCGTCTCCAGTTGCTGGTTTCCTCCAGAACTTTATACCACATTTTTTCAGACAGCCTAGATCCATCTTGCTAGAGCCTTATTTTCGATGATCAAGCAATGTTCATTGTTGTCAGATGATGCCGGTCTATCGGCCCCCGATTCCGAACTTTCTGAGTTTTCGACGTGACCGCATCATTAACCCTGGACGGTCAATTGAAGGCGCCCTCGATGCAAATTTGAAGAGGCATCTCTGACAGCCTTCACCAACCAATTGATGCCCCATATTTTCTTAGGTTCCTTTAAGAAGTCGAGAAGTGCCAGACGCCTGGAGTTCTCAATCTTCCGGTCTCAGTTTCGTTTAGGCCAAAGCGTCGAGCTCGATGCGGCTTCCTTAGATCTTCCGTTCGTGCCTGGTTTGATCTATCGCGCACGCACGCATTCGATTTCCTTTGACAAAATTGTTCAAGTATGAAGCAGTCCACAAGGAACGGCACGTTGGTCCAAAACGCTGTAAACAGATTCTGTTACGTCCGTGCTCGGCTGCGCCTCAAGCGAGCGATTCCCGTTTAGAGACAGGTCGGATAGACGGGGTGAAGTTAGGTAGGTACCTAGATAAAAACTTCCTCTCTAAGCTGTGGTGAGAAATTCAAGGAGCATCTGGAATAATCTTGCGTATCACCCCGTTCGCTTGATGGGGGTGGGTGCTCATATTATGAAGCGAGTCTCGTAAATTATCACGTATTGGCTCTCTGGGCCGAAGAATTTGTCTGCCATGATTCCTCACTGTGATATTCCTGCCCTGGGCGGTTATTGTATCTTCACCAGACTTGGGATCGTAAATCGAGAGTCCTAGAATGCTTACGTTAGCATGACTTATCTTCGAGAAGAATTGCGCGTTGAGACATCGGGAATCTATCCTGGCCACAGATCGAGAGATAATTTGCTTCTAATATATAGTGGGGATATTTGGGAATACCTCATTACCTGATTCGGAAGGACCCATCCCCCGGTTAGAATGATGGAAAGCATGCCGGTCGGGGACTCTCGTCTCGAGACCGATCAGGATCAAATGTATGGACCGATGGAAACCTTCCTAACGAGCAATCTTTATTCGGAATTCAGATCCCACGCGCGGAAAATTCGATGAATATTAGCCTTCCTTCCACGGAGTCTGATGGCAGATTCAGTAGTCTTGAGGCGGACGTCCTCGAACGTATGTAGTCTCCACGTAATCCACCTCCGCGTCGCGGTAAGCGCCGATGGGTGCGGCACCTCGGAATCCACCAGGGTTCGAAGCTCCCCTATAACCGCCGGACATGGGTTGCCCAGTGTAAGCGCCCGGAGCTCTCATCGGTCGCATTCCTCTGCGGGAGGATAGAATAATGTGCTACTTACTAGGCCACCTGTTATCGGGTTTATGCTTAGGCACTTCTACGGGTCGGGCGCCCCCACCTCTAGAGGGGTCAGTGCAGCGATTCTAACGACGGAATTTCGAGCATGTAATCCGCCGCAGAAATCCAGAGACACTCACCGATAAGAATTATTGGGCACTATGAAAATTCGTCGGATGATCCGCCGTACGTAGAGTCTCGAAGGGTCCGAATCGCTCTGCGTGGATCCACTCGCCATCTGAGTAGTCCTGTACAATTCTTCAGACCAACACGTCATAACCGCCAAGCTCGAAATCATGCAGATGCAGCTTAACCGCATCATCTTCACTAAGATGGTTGCTCGCGTCTTTTAGAAAAAGTGGTGCTCGTGCTCCTGACACGTCTTTATGTGCCTCCGTCATGATTGCTCACAGCTCACAGCCGATCGGGGAAAGAATATTTTCTTCAGAAACATCGGAGCTTCCCTCAGAACTTCATTGCCACCTCGGTCGACGCTTCCGCACGCGACAACAATATCACACCATGTAAAAAACTTAAGTTTTCCGAAATCTCCGGGCTCGACGGACCCGTCTCGAAGATCAGCTGAGTCGCCTACGACTTGGGGAATTTTCTTTTCCCAAGTTCAAGTAGATATCGGGACGGCATCGAAATTCGAGGTCGAATCCGGGCCTGAGTGCCGGAATAAGTATTCACTCAATAGTCCGATTCAGAGTAATGAACAATCGGGGAACCATTCAGAAGAACTTCCACGTGTTCGGAAAATGCGCTAAACATCCATGTCTGCATGCACCGAACAAGGACAAAGAAGTCACGTGAGAGGCACGCACGAGTGCTCGTAGTCGCGGACTTCCCCAAGTTTTCTTCCAGGATGTGGAAGAGGGGATGGGTGCCAACGACCAGCAGGTTTAACACCATGGGTGCGTCAAGATCAGCGCCTCTGATTGATATCAAAACCTGGAGCTCCTTGGCTCCACGTCGAATCGGATCCGTTCTCGGCAGCTCGGAATTGGTTGTAACTTCATATGCGGATAAGCGAAAATTCGATTCCGTCCCTTAATGCGGGGAGAAATCGGTCGGAAGAATGCTCCTTGAGAAATCATCGTAATTCCTCGGATTCTAAACGTACCATGCCGACCGACTCCTCCGAACAAGCATGATTGCATCAGAGCGCTGCTTAAAATGCATGAGGATATCCTTCGAGAAGGGCGCGCCATTTCCCTCTCGAGTCGTGAGAAATGTTCGCTATCGGGAATCAGAAGATGCGTCCCGGAGCTCCAGAGAAAACAGATGGGGATCTCTCGCCGATTTCTCCTTGTACATCGACCACAAGCATAAAATCCCCGAAAATGGAGAAATCGAGTCTGATCCCTGTAATGGCTGTGAAATGAGAGGCGTTCGAAACTTTAACAGCCGGGGATCTGACTCGAGAATTCCTTGAGGGATGGGCAAACTCGCTCTGGTCGGCCTCTGCGCAAACAAAATGACCTCATACTTCGTATAAGTTGGAGTCCAGTCAAGCCGACCCATTCAACAACATTTGTGCATTCCATAGTAGATTCCAAGGTCGCGTCCGACATTCCCGGCTATGGAAAATCATCTCGAGACGCAATGACGGCTCACAGCACGGCGTAGTCTGCGATAAACAGTGCTCTATGTTTCGTTTCCGTGAATCGAGCAATCCCTTCGTATTATACTTCACCTATCGGCTCTGAGCCAGGATACGAGCATGATAAGCGCCGATAAATCTCCACAATTGATAGTAGATATATATGTATATACATATATGTATAGTAGATATTAGGATGCATGTATATCATGACGGTAGCCAGGGGATTCGAGCTCACAATGATCCGGCGCGATCGCAAGATGGATTGTTGCATATATAACATTGTTTAAAGCTAAACACAATCGATTCCGATATGCATCCGTTCATCGAAGAAAGATGATTGATCCTTCATGCCAGAATCGACGAATTCGGAGCTCTATCATCTGTAGAGTCCCTAAATGGAAATCCAAGGTTTTCGTGTGATAAGGTTGCCTTAGTAGTAGAGGAGAAATTCAAGAATCTTCCACGAGAAGGTCTCTCCTGACTTTATTCTCTGAGTTCGAACCCCAGCTCTCCCTAGCTCTCGATCGGGGAATGTCATTCGTTTCGGACAACAAACACGTGGGGGCAACTCCAAGCCTGAAGGTCCGCAGAGTTTCCAACCAGCCACCGGATCATTGTCATAATCTCGACTCCGTCGAGTGTAGAGACTTCGAAAGTTCTCAGGAGGCCAATCGAAGCATTAGTTCACTCCGGAGTAGTGGACGCAGCGACTCAGAAAGGGGGGAAGAGCTCCCTGGTCACTTTAAGAGTTCAGCTCCGGAGATACTCGGTTCAGTAGTAGTCGTGATGTTGCCGTCGATATCCATCCAGAGGGTAAGCATTGTCGTAGTAATCCACGTTCGCACCCCGGTAGCCGCCGCCAGCTAAACCACGGTATCCGCCCGAAACCGGCAGAGTTGCACCTCCACGATAGCCGCCCGATTGCACTGTGCCACCTCCTCGGTACCCACCCGCGGTGGGGAGCGAGAGGCCTCTGAAAAGTTATTTCTGTTCATAGTCTCCGACTTTTGCATATTCGATCGACAAGGAGTGACGTCATCCGTCGAATTCTCAAGACAGAGGACATGATGAAGTCGGACATGATGCAGGGTGGCGCGAGTTTCGAGAATAGAATGTTCTTGCTCTCAGTGTTCCATGAGTGCGTTCGAAGGGATCCGGTTCGAAGACTACCCAGGTAGCAAGCTTGCAAGACCAGCCCATTCCCGAGCCTTACCTGAACCACGACTGACTAAGAATAGAGGGATCACGGATTACGATATACCGGATGATCCCGATTTTGATTTCTTATTTTTCTCGGACACGCTGAGTTTCAATGAAAAATAGGCGGAGACATCACTTTCTTTTCTCTATATCTCACCATTCCCGAGTAAAAAATAAGAGGAATGATATTGTAAAAAGTGAATAAGAGCGGAATTTTTCCTCGCATAGGGAGGAGACATGCTCTTCCTCGTGGTCCTCAACTCTGAGAGAGTTAGTGGTATTCTTTCTCGACGATAAATCGAACAGAGGGGGATCGTCCGTCGCACATTTTTTCTCTAAACACAGCCGTTTTCGAGAAAGAGCCGAAAAAAGAGATTCGTCACCACCCCGTTAGATGATATCAAACGTCTCACCTGTATCCTCCAGACTTAGACGCTGTCTTGACACTATTATGTACGTAGGAATCGTAGTACGGGGAGTAGCCACCGTAAGAGTACCCGTAGTAGCCCCTCACCAGCCCAGGGAAGTACACTAAATCTTGGCAGGCGCAAAAGCCCAACAAAAGACCCATCACACTTATCACCGAAGTTCTCTGAGAGACAGACATATCCTCAAACGCTCTAAAGCACCACCGAAACGAAGCATCTACTCGGCGCGCTCCTCCAGTTCGAATCCGTTTGAAAGATTGATGTCCCCGTCGATGTCGTGTTTTATCCGTTGTTCCCTTTCGAATGTTCATGGCCAATCGGTGAGGGAAGAGGATCCTCAGAAAAATCCATAGTTCCATCCGGAACTTCATCTTTATTCGATTGAGCTTTCCCTCATTTTGAGCGAACCAGAAATTCAGAGATTCTCAATCTGGAAAACCGACTCTGAATATTCAATAGCAAGTCCTCGAAGTAGTCGAGGCGGCCAGAAGATCACCATATTCATTCGGGGTCAAAACGTTGGCGTCGTCCGGTGCTTCCGAGTACACTTGCAAGCATTTGCTAAACATTTGTGTCATACTTGTGTGCAGAGGTGAGCCGTACGAGATTATTCACTCCGAGTCGCCTCGATCGGAATGAAAGAGCCCTTCTGTATTCTCATGAAAATCCAGTCAACCGCTCTGAATGTAAATGAAGTCGGTCGCGTGGTGCGCGCTTTCGCACAACACCGGCCTCCATGCTCAGAGCGGCACCCTCCCCGCTTCGATTTTTCTAACGAATATCGAAAACCATAGGAAGGCTTGCAATATTCAGGGGGTATTTGTCTCTTCATGCATCAGAGCCGCTGGGAGATATTTATCGAGGACACCCGCTATCAGGTCCTGCACAATCATCAAACACTGCGCACCCTCTTCCCACACGGAAATAGATTCCGGGAATATCCCAGACGGAAGGTCTTCCAACAGAAATTTTGAGTTTCTCTGCGACGGCGGTAGCAGTGCAAACACGATGATGGCCCCTGTGGAACTGCTTACGACGCCTCGGAAGATCCGGCTCGGTACGCTGTGAAGCGTCATGAACGCCCGACCGGTATTGGGGAACAACGGCGCCACGGCGGCTTGGAGAAGGATGAACTAATGTTCGGAATACATTGGCTGGTGTTTCGAACTAGCGAGGGAAAGATCGATTCAGAATCTTGGGGTGATGTACGACGATCATCGCTCTATGGATTCGCGATCGTCAGCTTTCTGGTCGAGGCTTGAGCTTGTGCCCGTAGGTGATTCGAGGCAGAGAGGCTCTGGCGCCGTCATCCCCTGCATCCGTAGGAGCGTGCGAAGAGTTCCCGGTGCTGGTTTTGGAGGAAGAGGCCCCAAAACGACTTCAGTACTCCAGGAATCAAGACTACCTGGTCTGTGTTGATAGAAACTCTTTCTCCTCATCCGAGATCTGGAGCATCGTGGACGGCAATACGCTTTCGATGCTGAGATCTCAGCACTTTCCACGGAACGATCGGCGTGCTGCTCGAGGCGTGTCTCAGAAAGCAGGGAGGTTCTGCGCCATTGAAGCATCACGACCGGAAAAGCATTGTCGTCTGCGGTGAGTTATCAAGGTCTTCTCGGAAGAGCGCGGGAAGTCATCCGGATTCTGAATGAAGATCCTCGATATCACCGAAGAGGCTAAAAAGCATACGCGGTGGACTTTGACGTCATATTTCTCCTTCGCTGTTTTAGCTCGCTTCTGCGCTTGCTCGTTCGCCTAACGCCCGCGCATGTAAATGAAAACGGGACAAACAGCAGAAGAAACTGTCGATCTTCGTATTCCGAGGGAACAATGGAGGAGCGATTTCGGTTGGCCCCCGCTGAGCTGGAGAGGCGCTCGTTTCTTGACTTTTTCATTTTCCTTCTTCTCTTCGGCTGAGCCAGTGCGAGCGAATCATCACTACGGGCCGCAATCAAGGCACGGCTTCCACACGGAGATTGCAACGCGAACACCTAATGCACCTGTCGGCTGCATGAAAGCGTGAGTTTGAGTTTTTATAGAAGGGGTATGTGCCGCTGAGGTACGAGAAGTATCGTCTCGACAAATGTGACAGGCCATGGCGCTTTCTCCAGATGCGGTGCTCGAAACCACGATGCTAATTCCAGATTCATCAGCGCTCGTTTAGGAGTATATGTATTCTTGAGGTGAATTTCCGGGCAATCTCAGTTCCTGAAATGCGCTCGAGTTATTGACCCCGGGAAGTCTTCGACCTGGAAGGGGGGAAAATTTTCGGTTGCGCATTCTCAGCTTCGAAGTCCTATACAATCAGGGGCACGGGTTTCCGCCGATGCCCATGTTCGATTCTTTCCGAATAAGCTGAATCGGCAACGATAGGATGTACCGGTGCTCCATGTTCGTCGACAGCACTAATGGAGTCTCGTTCCTCTCAGCAGAAGATGAAGAAATCTTCTCGTGTGTGGTCAGTCGTCGCCTTATTAAGCCTTCTAGGCGAGGGAGCATACCCCATCCCGATTCGATGGAATACCACCACCGAAGGTACAGTAACTCAGAACTTCAGCTCCGTGATGCTGTCCGGAGCGCCACCGGTCGTAATCAAATCCTAGGCAACTTCCCCCTTCCGGCAGGAATCACGCTTCCTAGCGGGAAAAAGCTGCAAAAATGTCATCGCATCTCAACTCAGGCATTCCGGCATCTGCTTATATGTGTGGATCTGGCCGAGCAGCCATTGTTGATAAGCTTGTCCGAGGCTGAACGTGAGCATTTCGATTGAACTAGAATTATTCCGCTCGCTCGAATCCCCTTCCCCGCTTTCATCCTTATTGATCGCTGTTTGATTATCTTTTTGCTCAAGAAGTATGTACGGGCATCCTGATAGCTCTAGAAACAAGAAGCTTCCTTCAGGTTTCAGCGAGTCGGTTCCCCAAAGAAATACCCCAGCCGATGAGAGTCTGTCGGCCCTGCAATCGCTACAGAATTCGCCGTCATCTATTGTGACCTGTCGTCCCCTGACTCCGAGAAACGGCATCAGGGAATTCGAATGCCCTCTCGGTAAGGAGGGCCTGGTTGTAGGCGTCCGAAGTCATGATCTCAATGGATTCGAATGGGTCGAAGTCTTTGTCAGCGCGGTCACCCGCATCACACCGTCGCGGACGAGCTCCGAAAACTCGAGAACTCCTCCTGATGGGGTTAGTGAAAAGAAAGTAGTCATAAAAGACAGCATCGATTGCGCTGATGAACACGATCCTGACTGTGATCTCGAAGAAGTTCGGAGCGACGACAACTGAGATATGTACATATGAATTCGGAGCCTCTCAATACATCTGGATGTCTGACGATTTCCCGTCTCGTTTTGCTGGAAACACGTATATAGATGCTTTTCCGTCGGCAGCTACGACTCAGAGATCAGATTGCCCAGCGTACAAGGAGTTTTGTCCCCACTCAATCGCTCTCATGGCGGGACTGGGCTCGGGACTTCACGCGTCCGGGCAGGCAACCCTTATCTCAGCTAAACTACGAGAAAAGACCTCAGAATATGGTCTTCGTATCAATATAGCGTATCTGTCGCGAGAGGCCAGCACGAACCGATGGGGAGAGGTCGCTCACCGGGCTGCGGTCGACTAAGAGAGCGAATCCTCGGCCCCGTGAGGAGCGTAGAAGAATCGTAACACCCAGATCTCCAGACCGGAGCGTTAGGGGCTAGACTAAATACCATAGACGGCCAATTCGAAAGTGCGACGTCCGTGGGGCCGCCCGACTCGCGCAGTATCACACATCCTCGGAAAGAATAAGGAGAGTGTTTTGCATCGCTGTAGGGAACGCATGACGCAGCTCGAGAGCATTTCGTCTCAACCTCTGCAGCGCATCCTCCCCTACGTTCCGCGGATACTTTTACCGGAGCCAGATGAGGCTCGAGAATTCGTCATCAGGGGTCGCGCATCCGAGGAAATATGTTAGGATCATACTCAGGATCAACCTCAGTTCAAGGAATCACACCGTATGAATCAAGGGATCTAAGAAAGCCCAGGAGTGAACACTCGCTTGTCATAGAATGTTTGTGTTATCCTCACGTCCCACATGAGAAGCGACGGAAGATTGATAAGAAAGCGGAGAAGGCTTATCTCGTCGGATACGATGAGGATGAGAGATACTGGCTGCATGCGAAATGCGGTGATGGTATCCCGGGATGTGACGTTCCATGAAAGATTGACAGAATGTGGAGTCGAAGTGAACGTCCGGAGACGGACGCAGACTGTTCGGTTGAAACGGGCCCGAGAAAGCCGCAGCTTAGCGACGATGAAACGGCGAGGAAAGAGTCCAGAGAAGTGGATTCAGATACAGCACGAGGTTCTCCGGATGTTGAAGCTTCACTTCCAGATACTTCATGGAGGTCCTTGAGTGTTCTCAGGAATCCTCTCTTGCATAGGAAGCCAGGTCATCTGAGCGACTACGAAACCTCGATTGTTGAGGTCGTCGAGGTCGATACACCTCAGACTTATCAGGAGGCTATCACAAGCGACCAATGCTCGGGATGGAGGAAAGCGATGGAATCTGAGATCGCCTCATCGAAAGAGAATCAGACATAAGTGTCTGTGCAGGCGCATAGGCATGGTCAATGGTCATTGAGTAGTCAACAAGGGGGAGTCTTAGGATCATTGTTGATCTATCCAGGCGGAAAACTTTATATATGAGGACTTTATATATGTCGAGTAGCTCCAAGTGAGAAACGAAGCGTTCCAATCAATCATCGGTGTTCTTATTCACGTCCTGACTCAATAGCTCAGTACCCAACAAAATGTGCCTCTCATACTCTCGGCATCGAGCTAACAAGTTTATTTGCCCTTAATTTACAAACTTCGTAACGGTGTAAGTGTACAAGTCTGATTCTCTCGGCAGACCAGTATATACATCCGAGTCATCCATTCTCGGTCTCTCTCCTCTCAATCGTTCTCGAGCTTGTTCAGTGAGGGCACTAGGAAAACCGGATGTGGTGTTGCAGCCTCTGCCAACAATTACTTTAAACACCATGTTGATCGGTTTGAGTGGTTCTTGGAAAAATATTGCCTACAATTTGTTGCTATATCCGAGTTGTTCTCGTCATGATGTCTCATCGCGTGAATCTTAGCCCAACCTGAGTGGCGATCTCGTTCGATTGAGATCCGAATGATTCCAATGAGAATCATATCACCCTCTAAATTCAGAAATCTATCCACGGAACCAATTGAACCATCCTTGCTGCTGGGGTAAGGGCTCTTCAGTTCGAACATTCACCAGATCTTCAACTCTGGATGCGACATTTTTCGCTTCGTTCGCAATATCGTCCACCGAGCTCTTGAATTCGGCCATCTCATCCTTGATTTTGCTAATGACGAGTTCCATAGCTTGTCGACCCTGCGGAAAGAATGCCCGGATGGTTTTATTCGAGCGCGATATGAGTTCCCCAGCGAGCTTGGGTGGTGCTTGCTTCTAAATAGATTCCCACCACCTCGTGATGGGGAATTGAGAATCGTGTCTATACCTTGGCTGCATTACTGGTTATACTCCCAGCGATGAAATTCTCCAAATGGCTCGAGAGCGGAACTCCCTTAATGGTGACGACGGTCTCCTGCGTCAGTAACGTACAGTTCGGGCCCTTCTCGGTATACGTCAGCCGCTCAACAAGTTCGAGCTCTGAGCTGAAACTCAGCTGCAATATGAGGCGACTTTTTTTCAACTCAGTTCTCCAAAAGCACAGCTCGTTATCAGTACAGCTGATCGCTCGGCTCGCTCAGTTGCTTAAGAGATAATGCTGGCCTATGACGTATGGGATGACAGCTGTGCACATCATACTCACGTTTCTAGACACCGCGGTCATGATTTTACGTTGTGGGTCGACAACGGAATGTTCGCTGGCGTAGGCGGTCTTATCCCCGCCGAAAATTCTCTGAGCCCATGTCGGTACGCCCCACTTGGTCGCCAGGAGGCGATGTGAGTAGAGTTTGCCCTCTTTGACCTCTCGATCGACAATGTCTACGAACACCACCGACGGATTCAGGGGGTTCGGATACTTCCTCCACACAGCTCGCGTCACTACATCCCATGGATGGCTGTAAAGACAGAAGACTCCAATGACATGAGGAATCAGGAGAGGGCCAACGTTCCTTTTCGTATCAATTCTTTGACCTTGTCAGTTAAATATTCCCGAATAGGTCTCTCATATAAGAGCTCTCGATATGCAATAGATAATAATTGAGCCAAGAGAACCAATGCGCCAAATGTGTCGATCACGGGATCTTCTCCCCCACGAGAAGTTCATAGATGCCGACTTGGATGAACGCGCAAAGATGACATCGGAAAGTCAGAGTCCAGAGCGCCCTAAGAAACTTTCCGTGACGTCATGAAAGATTAGTTATCCTGACAGTAAGGACCCAAAGGGATCAGGCGGATCGGACCTGATCATGAGGACCGACTCGCAAGAACTTTCGAGAACGTTCTACTTGTGGGGCCTAATAAAGCGCTGGCCGGAACATTCAGAAAGCTCTTCTCGAGGGTTTGAAGGCCATCTTGGCATTCCTGCGAGAGTGGGTCGCCGACTCTCTTATCGAAATCGCTCTCGTTCCTCCGTCCTTCAGAAGATGCTCGTCTGAACATCAATACCGAGACTCTGTTCGGGCCGAGGCGTAATACCTCTGAGCCCGCTCCGGTTCGGAGCCATCGAACATGACAGAGACGAGAACAGAGATCGATATCCCCTCACACGCCCTTACTGACTGCGAGTCGTCACACCAGCTCCGATTCCTTGGGCGGACACTCGGCTAAATGTACCCCATCCCTACTGTCAACCCCAGAGAAGATCGGGACCACGGCCTCAGGCTCCCACATGGTGCGGCACGATCCTTGTGTCCCAAACGACCGAGCGATAAACTTACTCGAATGTGTGCTCTGTTGTCTTGACCTTCATGTCGGATGCTTCGCAGGCTTCACCGAGTATACTTAGGGACCGGCACCACGAATCAGATCTCGAATTCAGACGTTAAGGAATCGCTCAAAGGTTTCCTCGACGTCTTTCCCTGTACCTCTTCCTGCTGAGGCGAAAGGTCGGTCGAACAGGAGTCGCGGCTGTATCTATGTGCAAGTGCTCCCAGTGGCGAGAGAAGAATTTTCGAATCTAGTACCGCCAAATACTCTCTCCCTCTTGATGAGCGCTGGGCGTCTGACGCGATAGTATTCCATGAATAGAGGAAAAATTCCGAGGAGTCGTCGAATCGGGATAAGAGATCATTCGCTAGAGCGAGGGCGATAGATCTCACCTAGGTGTTTCTCGGGAGACGAGTTCGCTCGATCCCCGTGGGGCGAGGGGGAACGACCTCCATCGGTGGCGGAAAACTAATCGGGGATCTTGGGAATCTCTCCCGGCGAAGGATGGGTTTGGTTTTCAGTCCAGCCGAAGATATCCTCGGAGCAGGAAATGGGAAACCGTGAGGCTCTTCCCTATCAGATATTAGACTCGCGCAACTCCGCCAATCCCCACGTAGCTTCATTCGTCCGCCGTGCCAGTCGATATTCCCGTGATTCACTGAGGAAAGCCATCCCATATCCCACGTGTTTGCGCCGAAGACCAACCTCGAAGCAACTGTCTGACTCCGTGGGAGGCTAGAATGATCAGGTCCATGACATAGAACCTGACACGATCCCAATGAGAGACTCGGACGCAACAGGGAATTATATCTATCAGACTGTCCAGATACGCGGCATCGCGAGCCCTGATCTGAAGCGTCTCAGGTTCCGGAGACTATTCTACATGGGGGATTTGCGATTCCCGGCGCTGGGAGAGTTCCGCCGGAGTGAGATCGACTGTTTTTTCCTCACTCGGTCCGCCCGATCCATTATCACAGCGAGTGTTTCTGCCAGACAAAGAATCGCCTCAACTCCGCCACAATATGGTCTTTCAGAATATTTCCTGACGACACTGCAGTTTCCACTTCGCTGCAGACATCCCGCGCTCCAAGTGTGAGGAAATGAACCCTCCGAAATATTTTCCACCGAGGAGAAGCGAGGTAGACCTCAGCGGTACTCGAAAGGAAGCTGAGCGACTCGACGATATGATAGAATGTTCGTTTAGTGGATAAGGATAATGTCGGGTTAAATGAGTCGCCATGCTGGATGGGCGGCAAGCAGCTTCTGGAAAAAGCAACCCAGGTCTCAACTTGTTGAAAGAGCCTTGCTCTGGGAATCAGATCTATTGTCCTCGAAGTGAAACACGGAACCGTCTAGGCTAAGCTGCGATGATGAACGACTTCCTCGACATTGATTCTCTGATAAGACGTGGATCGAGCGGATGAGTCCGAATATGTGGCGGATTGCATCATACCCGTGATGATGAGAAGTTGCTCACAGGCCGCAGCGTGCACAGGCTTTCTGTCATCCGTCTTTCCGAATCCCTCTCCCATAGGACAATATCAAGAGGAACTTGAAACGTAAATGATAGGCACTGAGAATCGACGCCGGCGACGATTCCTCGGAGAGTTCGATTGTCCCAGCTCTAAATCCGTTGTAGTTCAGCTCATTGAAATTCGGAAGCTCAAATCAACGCTCGGAATTAATTGAATAATGGCTGATTTGAGCTAACAAAAGATGAAGATCAAGTAAGCTCCTCTGAATGCGCGGGGAACTCGACTCAGCGAGTTGGTCAACCGCCGAGAATTGTGCAACTTGGGAAAACTCAGCTAGCAAGCGCCGGAATCCTGATTCGAATTTGCCGCCAAGAGAGGGTGAGCCCTCCCGCGACGGATGGTGGTCCGTCGCGCCGGCGGTAAGGTTTGCTCTCATAGCGGAACGTTGCGCAGCAATCTGCCTCAGAGATGATAAGAGCCGCTGAAATATACGCAAGGAGCTTCGCTCGTACGTCGTCGCTCCCCGTGTGAGGTACGCGCGGAGTTCCTCTTCAATCATTGCATCTCGACTCGGTCGCCAAGTCCCGCCATAACAGCAACATCTGATCGTCTCGAACGAATCAGCGGTACTGTCGTTTTCTAGTGTCGAACGACAGGAGCCGAATCTGTTCGTGTCTCCCTGGCGTTATTCCAGACAGAGTGAACGAAGAGTCCGAGGTTGGTGTGATCATCATTCCCTCCCCGGACCATGTCGTCGGAACAACTGGTGCCCCCACAGCCAGCGCTGCCCTAAACATCCATCGCCCACCAGCTCTAGAGCTCCTTCCGTCCAAGTGAGTGCGAAAACCCCGTAGAGGCTAGCTCTCAACTCTGTTCTAGCAGTCATCATCATCGTCGGTGGTGGTGATGGTGGTCGTCGTAGTGTGTAGCACTGCTCAGCTGTGTAGTGGCTCTTCAGCGGGCAAGCTAGAGCCTGCTCAACGTCGGAGCGTTGGGGTCATTCGAACGCAGACTTTTATTTATCACGCGAATTCAGGTTGATTTTCGCGCGCCAACCTCCCACGGGGGTCGCGATTTGCGATCGATGGGTCGGGTCGGACCGACGGGCGTTCGTAATGACGAGACACGGAGCAGGCGGCAAGGCGGGCAGGCAGGCCGGCGGGCGGGCGATGAGCGGTCGTGGCCTTTCGGTCAGCTGAAGAAGAGCCTTCGAAACATCCGAAGCTCGGAATTTCCCGTCGTGGTGCGAAAATGAGACGGTGGCTTTCGAAGAGCAAAGAAAAATAATTGATGATTCTCTTCCATATCGCAGTGTACGTTTGTCGGCCTACCCGCTTTTTCCGGGGCCCACCGACGAACGGGTCGAATAGTGAGTGACTAAACGATCGACCGAACGACTCACTGACTGACTGACTCTTAGTCAGTGCCGTCACCTCCGCCCAGCTCTTGCTCCTCCCTTGCTCATAGAATCCACAACTGCGTTATTTCGTCCTTGTCCTCGTATTATTGTTCTCGACATCGGTCGTAATCTATCCGGTTACGCTAGAAATTCGCTAGAAATTACGGGAATCGTTTCCTTTCTTCACGTGGGCTTGGCGCCGCGATTCGATACACCGTCAAATTAAGGGTGCGATACACCTTGCTGAAACTCCCAATTTGGATCCGCGTAAAGGGCTTGCTCGTGGCGGCGAGTGTATCAATCGAATTCGTCGGAGACAGATTGCCAGAGCCGACAATGTATGTGCGGCTTCTATGCCGCTACCGCCGCCGCCGCTACTGCTAGCTTAGAACATTTACATTGATGAATGTCCAAGATCGAAAAGTCTATGGCGCGGCGCTGGCGTCCGGGCTGGCAGCCCGCGAATGTACAGCTATTCTCTATGAGATAGGATCGTGATTTTCTGGTCGAGTTCGAGCTTTCTATCTGGCCTGGCTATCGAGTTCGGCTTGCGCAGAGCATTCTTCGGCGATGTCCGAGGGCTTATGGACGCTCTGTTTGTCCTTGCTGACTGGATTGGTGCGTTCCTGGTTTGTGCCCCATTTCAGGTCACTGACTGCATGTCAAACGCTTCTCATGCCGTTATGACAGAGACACACACAGAGCGCACGCACACGCTTCGAAACAGCAGTCTTCTTACCTCTTGCGTTCCGTTTGACGTCGGCTCCGCGTTCGTCGTGGATACGAACGATGATAAAATCTCATTTACAGAATCGCTTGCGTAAAAGGGTTGAGAGAACGAGGTTTTCGATCGGAAGCTTGGCATTGAAAATTTCCTAGAGCTGTCAGAACACATCAGCTGTGGTGGAAACAGCTACTTCCAGAACTGCCCGTGTTTCTGAGCCGAGGAAACGTTACAATTGATCCGAGTAATGATTGTCGTCTCCTTAGTGAAGGTAGATGTTTTTCCGTGTGTCGGAGAGTTCCTGACCGAGATCGGCACCATAAAGAGGAAAAGTTATCTTTTTTTTCTTCTCCGTCTCATGGATTACGTCAAGGAACGCAACAGTCCTCGGGATTAGCTCACAATGAGCTGGGTTTTTAGGGGACTTCGGGTGGTATTTAGCCGAAAGATTGGGAATTCATGGGGATTTAGCCATGGAACATCGCCGCTGGATCTCAGTCACTAAGGTCGACTGTCGGAACTTTCGTACCAAAATGTTGGCAGGAGTTCTCATTCGTTGATATGACGGAATCGGATCTGGAAGCAGGATATCGAACGTGAGACATTCGAATTCATGTTAGTATCCAACATTGTGTTTAGTATTCTCGCCCTGTGTCGTTGTCGACGAACGCCCAGCCGTTACGCTGATTGTCTCGATTTCGTCTGACTATATCGGGCACGGAACTTGTAAAGATAGCGAACAGACCACGTTCTGTGGGTTCTACCGCGGACTCCGACCGCACCAACGGCCGATGACCAGACCGGATCGATGATATCCGACTCGACGACCCGGGAAGCTGTACGGGCCGGTGGACTCGAATCTTGATCCAGTGGGGAGACTCCCCCCTCGACGTCGTACGCGCGCTCATCAATGTTTTTTTTTCCGTTTGCTCATTTTGAGTTCCATAAACAAGCTCCGCTTCATTAGATTTCTGTGATCCGTTCTAACCGCGGACAGAAACAGAGAGCAGAACAATGCTTAAACGAAACTATATCTATTACGGGAGGCGGGAGGTGAGGGGCCCGTGTGCCATAAACACCAGCGGCAGCTGCTCGAATCTGCACTCTGTTTTTCGAAGGCGAGCTCGATGGATGTTGTTTGATGATTGCATCTGTGGTCTGGATCTGATTGTTGATCCGAATTGAGCGTATTCCCACTTGTTTAGTTTTTCTACTCTGGCGTCCGTTCATGGGGGAACGAGAGGAATGCTCGGAGCAGGTCGTTTGTACGAAAGTCTGATCGGAAAGAAGAGGAAGATTTCCGCACGTTCTTCAAACGATTGCCCCACAACAAATCGACCCTTGTCCTTTTCGAGGAACGAGAAGAAAAAGTCAAGCCAGGACTTGGGTTTTTCGGAAGTTTCTGCAACGTTTTGTAACGTTGCAATCGCTGAGGCGTGGAGCGTCCATAAGCGCTGAGGTGGTGATTTTTTTATGGCTCCTGTGGTCCGACCCACAGACACGCGCGATCCGACCCCGACATGCGAATCCATCTACAAGTCCGAGCGTTAAAAATCCACGCAGTACTCCGTATCGGCGAGCTCTTCCTCCGGAATTCCAGCAGAGGCATCCAAACTACGTTTTACCTTTTTTCCCTTCGCAAACGACGCCGACGTCGTCGTCGTCGCCTCGCTTCGGGCATGCCGCTAGTGGTGCCGCCGCGTCAGAGGGTTTTGAATCTGGGATTAAGAATTGGGTCGGCACACCTGAAGTGGTGGCGGAGGTACATCTTCAGCGTGAATCCGCATTGAATAATCCACAATTCGCGCACATCGCGAATACTCCGAGAGAAAGCTGTGCGGCACGCAGCCGACTTTCGGCCGAATCGTGGCTCTGCGGCAGGATGTACGATGAGAAGTTCCGATCTGTTGCGTCAGTCAGGAGCCTGTATGCTATCCACCCGTTTTCCGAATGAGTGTTTTCCGCCGCCATCATATCCACGTATTCGACTAATAATGTCGTCGTTCTTCCTTGCTTCGATCAGACTATCGACGAGGTCCGTCTGCATTCTGTACTTAAATGTGCCATCCAAGTCATCTGTCCCGGATGACGTGACGAACAATATTATTGTCTCGAGCGAATATATTGCCGGTCAGTACGGCTGACGCTCATGTTGTTGTTGTTGCTTTTGCAGCAGCAGCAGTGACCGTCCGTCGGACGAGCAGCGTGAGCGAGCGAGAAGAGGTCGCTCATGCGTCTAACTGTGTCACGATGAAAACGCAAGGGCAAGAGGAAACCGTTCTCTTACCAACAAGTGACGGCACTCTTGGCACTGCCTTTCCGAGCGCCGTTGTCAACGGTGCATTGTCAAGTTACCCGTATGACACTAATTCTAAGTGCTGATCTTTTTTCTTTGACATTCTTTCGACTGGACTTCGGCGGTTTCGGAAAAAACAGCCATTGGAAGCAACTGATAGCTGGTGAATGCCCCGGAACGATTCCACCTGCATCGCTTCCAAAGCGGCTAAGCGCAGGCATTAAGGCGTTTTATAAGGAACCTTGAGAATAGATTTAGGCGGCCAAAGCGGTGATACTTCGCTTCTCTCTCATTCATTTGAATATGTCTATCGAGTGAAAACAGGTAGTGTCATTGTTGTGGTTATTGTCGATGTCTAAGCTTCTGCTGCGGGGCACGAGAACTTTCTAAGATTGCCGTTAAGGTTTTCCTGGCTTGGGTGAATTTAAAGTTTCTGCAGCGTCGCAAGCTGGTGGCGAAGTGGTCAAGAGAAGGAAAGTTCGAATCCTTCTGGATTTGCTGTTGCGTTACACTCGGGGGAAAAGTCCGGTTTCCGCTCGTCGTATTCTGCCACGAACGCTAGCTCTCTCTTGCGAAAGATAGCTTGGCTTGATAAGCGAGCTGCTTTGGAGACGAATTCTAACATTAATGGTAGAAAATGCATCGGGACTCTCCGTTCTGCATTATATATGATCGAGATTGAGATATAATTGAGTGAGATACAATCGTTGCATGCTGTCAGAGAGACAATGATTTAGAGTCGATTAGCTTCGTGCCTCCCAATCGAGCTTCGAGTGAAAATCTGAAACGTTCCTGTGCCTGGTCGCCCTCGTTGCCCTGGCTAGACTAGTTCGCTCCAAGTTCGGGAGCCGCTTTGATGAAGCTCTTGAATCAGCTGTTACCTCATCGCTGTCTCCCTCTACCCTTGTGAATTCCGGGGGTCGATGGGTATGCCGTCGCCTGGATTCGACATATAATTCAAGATGCGATCATGGACAGCACGGCATCCGCGGGGAATCACGTTTCCATATTTCCGAGCGTGGATCTGTTCCTCCGCGGGATCCCGCAGAACAGATTTTCCGCCGATTCCCTTCGAATATCCGGTAGTCTAAGGAGCGAGCAGTTCCGAAACTCGGAACTTATTTTTCTCCGCGAAGAGGATTCCGTTTCATCAAGACATCCAAGCATAGGCTTTCGATTTTCTCATCATTCTGCCACATAACCCTGCATCCTGGCATGCCGATACCGCCACAAACTCAGCGGCCGGAGGCTTTTATTTTCATTGCCTCCCGACGCTTGAGCTAAAACGTGAGGGGAGTTGAGTGTGTCAATTCCTAGTTCAGCGGAAAGGTCGACATCTATTCGCTCGGGTGATACTGCATCAAACGAGTGGATCTTTTCCTCTCTAGTTGACGAAACCACATGCCTGAAACACGAGCCAATCGAACACGGGTGGACGCGCGCGACCACTGCCAATCGGTGACAATATTGGTTGGAGCTCGTCGCAACCTGCAAGCTCTTGCTCCCCGAAAATCATTGCAGATAATTCCGCAGACATTCGCAGCTGAATGACTCCTTGGGAAAATTCTAAAACTCATTTTCTGATTTGAAGCGTCCGTCGATTATTGGTCGAAGAATCACTGCTGCTATCCACGCTCACGGTGGGATGTTGCGAAGTCCACTTGGCCTTCGCACAAGGTTACGGCCATTCACGTAGCCTTTCCTGTTGTCGGCGGGAGCCAGCACGGCCGCAACGACTTCGCCTGCTGATATCACTTACGCTGCTTCCAGCTGATAATCCAGTGTGACAGTCGGCGGGAAACATTCTGTCACTTCTAGCTGGCAGCCGCCTACTTCGATTGTGAGGCGGCTTGCTTGGGCTTGACAAAAACGAGCGATCAGAAATTATTTCCGCCCAGACTCGTTCTATCGCCTCGTTTCCGATAGTGGTGACAGAAAGCGAAGAGGAATGAAAATGTCATTGTTTCCTCTGCATGGCTTATATTCGCTGGCAATCGATCGTAGTTACGCGCGTCGGAAACCTTGAGAGCTCTGAAGCTCCGAGCGATTCCAGACTCCGGAGCCGGCTTCCGAGTATTTTGAACAGAATGGTACCGGAGCGAATAGAAGGGGTAAAGCACCGGAAACGGGTTTCCTGATGGAAAGTCCAAGAATCGAATAAGCCTTCAAAGTGATTTGCCTCAACCGACGTGGATTCTTCGTCGCAAGAAAAATTACTCCGATGACCGTCTGGCAGCAGGTTTGTCGTCTGAACGACTTGTCGATCGATGAACTGATCACTTCCGGAAAGCTCTCGACTATCCTCAATAGGGATACGGGCGCTGATTCGTGAACGGTATCTTCCCACCACGGCCTCAACGGCCGTCGTATCGGAGCTCCGCCAGATATTGAGGCTCCGTGATATCAAGCTCACTGCGAGCTCACCGATCACGGCTAGGAATCTGATACTGTTCGCCTCCTTCCAATGTTTTCGATACCTCGAGTGACTGTTGGGCGGTCCGACTCGTCGATCGAATGGTGCGGAGTCTATTGCCGGAGGCGAAAATAATTCGATTTGAATCTTCAGTCCCTTCCCCCCCCTCGATACTGTTTGTTCAACAAGAGGTCAAAACAAAGTGGAGAGACTCGTCGCGGAATTTTATTACCGCGTGTACGTGACTTGCTGTGAGAGACTCCCTTGCCCTTCGAACCCCGCGAGAGTTCCTCCTCAAATCAAATCAGTGGTGGTGGTCGCGCCGGAGGTGTTGATGTCTCCGGAGTCTGGGGTAGTGATTCTCGAAAATCTTCTCGATACCGTTCGGAACCGCACATCGGAATCGCTTTCAACCGCTGAGCCTTTCCGATCGAGCTTGTGGTTGATCTTTCTAATCTATCTCCAGGAATCGAGATTTCTCCAGAAATGATAACCACCAAGGTAATCGACAATCTTTTCGTGTTCAAGCTCTGATGTCGACCATGTCCCCCGAAAGTCCTCATGTCCTTCGTTGAATTGTGATGATGTGGAATCACGAGGCGGACATCGATCTTCGAGAGGTCGAAATCGACACCAAAAGTCAATGGTCCTTCTAGGATGTCATGAAGAATAGGGGAATTCCCCAGCTCTATAAGTGTGACCGCGGCTCAAGAACCGATGTCTGCGATGTGCAATGTTACTCGACATAGTGCCTCACGATGACTTCAATGGCATTGACGAACAATTGCCAGCGAGCTTCCAAACCACGCACTCAACTTCGAGTCTCTGATCAGCTAGCTGGCCCCTCGTCTCTTCTTTTCGAGTTTCCGTTCGAGTCTCACAACAGTTCTTCTGCGATGATAGGGCTCCTCAAGGACATACCGAATTCCGTATGCTTCGCGCCACATCTAAATACTTCTGTGCGCCGCTCTGAGTTCAGGGAAAACATCTCAGCTTGACATCCGGGAGAACCAATTGTTTTTTCTACTTTCCAGGGAAGATGGTGAGCGCTGAGTGGCTGTGTGCGGAGCGCTGCAGCCACGCGGGCACCCCAATCCCAAACCAAGGAGGAGGACAATAGTTCGTCCACCGATTTCCCCTCCTGATCTGGACCGACACACCTGTTACTAGGAATGGACCGTTAGCTGAAGGGACCGCAAGGGACCGCCCCGCCTGTAGGGCTTTGGCCTCTGGTTCCTAAGAAGACTCACGAGCCTCAGCAGCAGCAGCAGCAACAACATATTTGGAAATTTGGATTCGTGTCGAACAGCTGGAACTTTCTCAACGACGGTCATAAAGCCCAGTAGCTCCAGCTCCAACTCATAATCCTCAACTACCCTCCCTACAACGAATCCGAACTGCAGATCTTCGAGCGACATTGAGAAAAATTCAAAGCTTCGCAAAGTGCTCTATTTTGATTACTCGCGGTGTTCCGCCCAGAGCTTCGTATCGGCAAAGTCTTCCTCTCTTATCACGACGAGCGAGATTAGCGGGAGAGCTAGCTAGCCAAATCGGCTGGCTGGCGTCGGCGCGGCAGCAGCAGCAGCAAGGTTCACGTCGCAAGTATAACGATTAACACTCATGAAGTACTTGCAGTTGGCATCTGTCTCAACTCCGGCTGCAGTCTCGACGTGGTTCCAGGACGAGCTGGTCAACCGGGGAGTAGACGCCGCTTACACTTTTTACGTACTGTCGCTTCTGAGGGAACCTCAAGATCCTGAAGACGAAGTCAACAACCGCAGCCCAGGGAGCGCCCATCGATATCCTGCGCAAGCCAACGGGAAACCCGAGCTCCAGCGGCTCCGGGCGAAACGTTGTGCGGTCGAGTGTCTAAAAAGCGCTGCACTTGAGGAGGATACGACGTTCGAGAATTTCGACGCTTTGGTAGAGGAACTGCTCGTTCGCCTCGAGCCACCTCACGGCTCTGCGGAGATCGCGGATCTGACTTTGGACAACGGAAGGAATTCGTCGGCTTTACAAACTCACTCAGCATTGACGTCGCCTGCGAGCAGGGCGACGGTCCGAGCGGCAAGCCAACAACGTGAACAACAACATCATCATCAGAAACAGATTAAAAAGGATCAGACCAATCATCAACAGAAAGAGGAGAAGACTTTGGCTGAGCGAGCGAAGAAGTACTTCGAGGCATTTCCCGCTCTTCAGGTCCAAGATTCCGACACGAAACTCAATTCCGCCGATTCTCACGGAAATAATTCGAACGAGAGAAATTTGCGAAGTGTCTCCGCTAAAATCAAGAAGGATAAGAAACCCCGCAAGAGGGACCTCAGAGAAATTCTATCGCCCGTCGCTTCCGAGGAGCTCAGTCAAGGAAACGGACTTACGCAGAACACGATTTTGAAAAAAACTACGGATAGAGAAAACGAGGACGCTCGCATCCCGCTGGCTTCCTTCGCGAAGCTCAGCGTTCGTCAGCATCTGGAAGCCGAGTCGGAGCCGGCGCTCGAGCCTGTTGCTTATCGATCGGTATCGACGAACAGCGTCATCGCTGCACACACTGCTTTAGGCCCCGCGGCGACGACGACGACGACGACGAAAACGACCATCGCGAGTGCTTCTTCTTCCGCGTCTCCATCCGATAGAACTTCGACGGTTGAAACTCCAACCACTTTTGGAAACTTAACCGCTAGCGCTTCTACAGCCGGTGATTCGACCGTAGGTTCTTCTTTCGACGATATTTCCGTCGCCGGAATTCCCGCCGCAGGGATGATGAGCTCGCTAGTTCACGAGGAGTCCCTCGTTTCGAGTCTGACCAAGAAATTCGACTCGCGGCTCGCAGCGATCTGGGCTGACGCTACGCCTGTGGCTGAAGAGCAACCCTCTGTTTGGCGAATCTCTCTCGACCTGAAAACCTCCAGGGAAGGATGTGTCGCCGAGCACGATGAGGTCATCTTCTCGATTCCTCAGATGTCCCACTTCTCTACAATTCTAGACGAAGAGGATGATGCCCAGACCGGGTCGTGTCCACCCCTGCGGACCGCTTTCGTCGACGAACACGAATACGCCGAGGAACCATGCGGAGAGCGCTTCGAAGCTCCTCCAAACGAGATTTTCAACCAGTTGGAAACATTCGAAGACCATAAAGAATTGCAGTCGTCTGAAGTTGTTGCTCAAAATTTTGTGCTCAATCCTGCTGAAAATGAGGCGACGGGCTTCAGGGAAGCCGGGGTACTCTCTTCATCGCCCACTCTGTGCCTCAAGAACTCCACACTCAACTACGACAAAGAAAAAACGGCGTTCACCGAGGTACGTAGTCACCACGCTTATTCCCGTTTTCTTCCGTTCTTTATAGCTCGATCTCTCCCACCGTGGAGATTCCGTCCCGTCCGTTGCTCAACCTTGGTACTTAATTCCCAGGTGATTCCCAATCGTAAGGCCTCGTGCGATTCGGCAAGTTCGCTCGAGACTTTGGCAGAAAAAACAGACAGCAGGTCGAAGACTTCCATGCTCCCGATGAGGATCAAGGCGAAGATCTTCTCTATTCGCTACGGACGCATTTCACTCCGATCAGAGCCGACTTGGAGGATATGGAAGATGCAGATGCTGACGGGAGCAAGGAAAGACCTCTGTCTTCTTCCCTCGACGAACTCTCTTCGTATCATCTTCCGCCGGAACCGCCGAAGAGACTCGTCCACAAAACCAAGCAGCGTGTCGTCCAGGAAATTGCGCTTCCCAAGCCTCCTGTGGAAGTTGCGGCGCCGGACAGTGAGTACTCATTCCTGACGATGGGCATTCACGTAGTCGACCACGTGAGAATCGGGTCTTTGAACCGGAGTGCGTGCATCAACCCATATGGCTAAATTGTTCCGGGAGATCGTGAGGGGTTCGATCGTTCGTTTTGCTCATAGCAATCGCTAGGGCAGAACGGGAGCTGATCACAGCACGCCCGTCACATGTTCTTTTTCGTATCTATGGAACAGAAGAGCCCCCTCGGCAGGAACAGCCGCGGCGAGTCGAGCCTGGCTGGAGGGGGAGTCGATGGGTATTCGGGAATTTTTCCCTCAATTCTTGCCTCTAAATCCGCGATTCTTTGGCGGATGGTCGCTTATCGAATTTCTGTTCCAGACGAAGTACCCAGTGAGAAAAAACCGTACGACGTGCGGTCACTGTGGAAAATATTCGAGTTCGAAGTCCCTCCGCCCGCTGTTGATGCAGACCTGTTGGGTGTCTCCCAATACTGGCAAGGCATGGCCGTCAACTCCGGAGTATCGAGGGAATTGCGTCAAGAAATTCTCGCAGAGGAAGAAGAGCTTTTCAAGGACATTTACGAGGAGGCGAGGCGAGCTGCGAGCCAGACCAGCAGCTTGACTGAGGACGCCAACACGACAAGCACCGGCTACGACTCCTACCAAGGTACCCACGAGTGAACGACATCGGTTGGATATTTTTCTCCAATAATATCCTCTCTCCATACGAGTTTCTCCGGAGCCGCGAGCTAGGATCGGTCAGTCGCTAAAGGGAACATTCTCATCATCCTCAGACACGTCTCTGGAGTACGGCGCCGTGGGGGGAAGTGTCGACAGCAATCCGGTCGGTGCAGAGCCCTGTAACATTGAGTACCTCAGTCACTTTTCGAGCGGGTCTCAACTCTCCTCGGTGTTCGACACGCCGGAGATGTACGACTCAGCCATCGTGACGAGCGTGCGCTCCATACAGGACTTGCAACGTCAACGCAAACGCCAGCAGAAGAAACCGTGTACTTTTTACATGGAGGGCAACTGCCGACGGACCGACTGTAAGTTCTCGCATGACCTCTCGAATATCACGTGCCGCTTCTGGGAAGACAACAGCTGCTTCAAGGGGTCGGCGTGTCCGTTTCTTCACGGATATGCGGCTCCGGTTGGAGACGACGTCTCGGTGACCGGATCTCAAAGCAGTTCTGGAGGGAATAAGAAGGAAACAAAACGCGGCAGCAAGTTCACAATCGGTGAGTTCCGTCATCTGTACCGTCCGCGGCTTCTGTCGCGCATTTCGGAGACGAACGCCGGCTCGTACAGTTTCCTCGATCCTCTCGACGCTTATCCGAAAAAAAATGGATCGCTTGCTCGGCCGAAGTCGGAGTCATACGGTTCAGGATCCTGATCCAGTCGACTGAAGTCGTCTCAGCTTGCGCTTGCGCTTCCGAATACCGAATCCGCTTCGGTCCCAAGGAATCTTTCCTGTGGGGCTCTGGGGAGCCAGGTCAACGCCGCGTTCATGTGTGTCGGAGGCGGGCAGTACCGTCAGAAATCCGTTCGAGATGACAAACTCGAGGATCAAAGACAAGGGAAAATACTGAGGCACATCTCGAAACGGATACTTTTGCGAAAATGCTTCCGAGATAGTGTCCGAGAATCCGCAACTCGGACGTCTGACTAGAACGAAGAGGAAGAGAGATGGAGGCTTCCGCTACCTTGTCCCTCCCGTGGGCGGGGGACTTTTTTTTGTTATGCTTCATTTACGTTGTTTCCAGGCGGGGGTTTTGGGACAGGAAACTGTAGTCAGTCTGTCGCTAGTCGGGCGACCGTTAGGGGGGTCCTTGCGTCCAGACGCCTCCCCGTATTCAAGCGTCTCTGGTCGTCCGGTCACAAAGGTAATTCCTCCTTTCGCTACAGGGGCAGCTGCCATTGTTTTGGTCGCCTGTCTCTTTAACAATAAGGAAAGTCGACGAGCCGCTTCTATTGCTCGTTGTGGGGGATTTGGGTCGTCTCGGAAACGCTTCAGCGCATCGCATTCGAATCGCCTTGCTGGTGACGGCGAGTGACTCCTCCGTGCGGAGGAGCTGCTCTTGATCTGATCGTTCGTCGCTGCGGAATCAGGACGATCAGAGATGGCTCACTCGAGCATTTTGCGACTCTCTCACCTAACCGGCTCCGTCCCCTATGTTGTTGTTTACAGATTCGGAACAGGACTTTCCTTCGCTGTGTTCCAATTCTAAAAGCAGCAATCATTTGAAGATCACCAAGAAGATCTATAAGAAACCTGGAATTCTTGCGCCCAAGAAAAACCCTGCCGGCAGGAAGAAGAAGAAGAAAACTTCAGCATCAGACGCGACGAAAACAATTCCTCCAGAATCTGGCCACTCATCGTCGGAAGCAAAAACCAGCAAGAAAGATCAGGGCAGTAACGCCACGAAAAAGTAGTTTGAGTTGAGTGTTGCGAGCTGTTGTGAGGCCGAGGTGTCTGCTATTCTGTCGTCCTGCCCTACGACGCTTGTGGTAAGGACGACAGGGCAAGGGGATAAGCTAACGGATTGTACAGATATCTCTAGCCATAACCGAAACATGAAACGAAAAATGAAACAGCAAAAAAAGCTTCAACAATACCACGATACTACAAAAGTTTATATGTTCTTCTACAACATATAGCCGCTTTTGCCCAATCCAACACATACACAATCACCGCCCGACAGTAGCTTCCCGGGAGCGGGATCTTCTCCTTGACCCGAGACAAACGAATCATGATGAGTTGAGCCCTCAAGATATCAAAGTCGATGAGCGCGGCTCGTTCGGGACGCTCTCCATCAATCAGAAAACATCGGCGAGAAATTCTAAAAAAAAAACGAAAAAAACTATCACGAAACTCCGAGATTAGCTACTCTCCCTCATACATCGATCCTTTGGAATGAATCCTGATGCATGGAAAACGTCAGGCCAATCTAATTAAGTCCATCCCTCCTCCCCCGAATGATTATGGATGGCTGTCGAGGGCGAAGGGCTTTTGAGTTGTCGCCCGAGCGACATTGCCTAGCTCCAATACACTGAAAACCTCTAAGCTGAGCTATCAGACCGCGGAGTATGTGTCAGGCACGACGACTCAAGCATCGACCGCTGGTCATCGACTTCATGAACGAACGACATTTTCTCCAGGAGCAGAGGTCCCGAAAGAATTTTCTCGCACGGAACTACAGCAAGCGAATTCACTCTTCGCAATGGCTTCTGAATGCTCATTGCAGAGCACAGATAGTGACCAGGGATAGGACACATGGACAGACAGGAAATTGGAATCCTTCTTGTGAGAACAGTATGTACAGAAGTATCCTCTTTGTTGACCCTATCATTGGGTTGCTCGGATCCGCTCCTTCACAAACCGAAACCTGATCGGCATGAATATTTTCCGCTCAGTTCCTTCTGTCGCTGTCGTAAGCCGTAATTTGTTGCGTTGAGCTGAGAGACGTCGCAGTGATTCTGCTCTTGAGGCACGGATTCCCACCGCGACATTCCTCGTTCGAAGTTTTGTGCCCACCTCGAGCGTGTTCCATCAGCGATTCCGCTCCCGGCAACAAACACAACTTACCTCTTTCCACTATCTACTCCATAACCTATCCCGAGGCGAGAGAAATATATTCCTCTAGATATTACTATTATTTATAACAGGATACATTAAAGGGGTTTCGGGATAGCAGATGATCGAGGGAAGTACTGAACAGGTCTCGGATCGGGCTGTTTCCGAAGAATCGGAAAGAGTTTCCCGACTAAGTCGTGAAATTTCATGGCCCGAAGCCGAGAGTCCCCGGCAGATCTTAATCCATCAAAAATCATTTGTCAATCCCTGTCAAACTCTCGCGACTGACTGGCTCAGAGCCAAATCAATCTAAGATATTGGAAGCCTAACTTGTACTCCAGATCTTCGATGTCTCGGACACCCCCAAAAATGAAGACGAAAAAAGAGGAGCGCAAAGACACTTGTGCATTGATCGCAGCTCCTACTCGATCGATCAAGTTGTCGCGGATAACATTGCCCAAAAGACGAGCCTCGTCACAGCAACACCTTCCTTAGCGAAATTGGCGAGTTGGAAGCGTGACGCGAGATCGAGAAGTAGACCCAATGAAACAAGAACACGAAAAGCACCGAACGGCCAACAGATGCTACATACAAGCAAGCGCTTTGCGTTCAAACAGTCGGGACATAACACTAAATAATCCAAAATAATAAACAACAAACATGGATGTGGGAGAACGAACAAACAGCTTGACTATATGGTGCATTCATCACACAATTTGAGTGAGTAAGAACCTCCCCGACGATTCGAGTGGACTTTTTTTTAAACAGACCAAAATTTTTCCTCGACCACCGTGAAATTCTCACAGCCCAAGCTTCGGAAACACCTCTCGGGCGCCAATCGAAGCTCGAGAGAAAGCTATCGCGAAGCGGAAGGATTCGACGCACCGGAACCCCCTACTTTTTACGAAAGTTTACAAGCCTCTTGTGAGCTTCGACCCGACTTTCGACTCGGAGCCTGCTCCGCGTCCGATCGGGTCGGACATCATGCACTTCAGTTGTTTTCATTCGAGAACCGCCGGAATTTGATTTTTACTGCAACACGAACGTGCTGGAAAGGAAATGAGCAGTGGAGACCGATTCCGGAACCCGATGACGATTCTTTTAGTCGACATCGCAGATGGATGACGGAAACTTCCGCCGAACTCGGATCGATATCGACTCAGAGAAGTTCATTCACTCCGGCTTCTAGAGACGAGAAGAAAACCCTCTTGGATCCTCGTCTTTCTGGAAGATTCGGACGCGGTTTCGCGATGTCGATGTGAGTTCAAGAAGCTCGGAAGTGATAACTTGAGAACCCACTTGAAATTGTCACTCTTTAGGCGCTCTAGCAAACGCGGAGCCTGAGCTCTGCGCGTCCGAGTATCCTTGAAAACGATTTCACCCCCTAGTGTAATATAATAGAGTAATTGTGGAAGCCGAACGGACATCCGTGTCGGAGTCTCGGAAGAGCACCGCGGTGACGGTAGTCGAGAAGAGGATGTGCGTGTTAGGTACACTCAATAATGTAGCCAAACGTTGTAATGATCCAAAGATTCGAGAGTCGGCCACACCACGCTCTGATTCCAGAATCAGCAAAGTATTCATCTTTCTTCGACCTCCCGATAGGAGTGGTCCCTCAAATGCGTATCACAATCAGCAGCTGAGGTCGCCGACTCTCTGAGAGAGGCGGATCTTAAATGAGCTTCGCCTCGCTGCTAAAGTTCCGTGAGCGCGAAAAAGACCTCGAACCGGCGTTTCCGTCTCAAATGACGACGCCTGGATCGATGAACGTGTCTCAAACGAATAAGCAGCAACAGGTGGAGCGGGTGTCGGATTCGAGGTTCGGCCTCTGTGGGCGAACTATTAGACAGACGAGGCCGACTTCTGCGAGTTATTTCAATCCAGATGTCGGGTTCAGCAGTTCGAACCCGAATCAAGGAGAGCCGGGCTCCCGAATATTCGCTACCCGCGACACACAGTTCAACCAAAAATTCCCAAGAAGGGCAATCAACACGGATTCGGCTGGCATGTTCATTAAGATACTATTTAAGGAGAACAAAGCAGGGAGAAACGATGAGAATAATCATGACGATAATATTATTAATATTAACTCCAGCAACAAACGAACGCATAGAGAGGCCCGGTCTGTGTGGATTCCACAGCGGGTGGTTGCTCTGCAACGGAAACTCCAAACGAGATGCGATAGAACACATACGGGGAATCTCCGGAAGGAAAGTTGATGATAGACGGGGAGGGGAGTTTCGGCCCAATGGAAAATTGCTGCGGTGAAAAAAAGTTGGTCAGGGTACTTCACGAGCTGTACTTCTGAAGAGGATCCATCGACTCCAAACTAGGCTCTCGTAAGACCGGAATGGTGATGTTGCTCTGGTCATGGATGCAGGAGACTGTCTGGCATCGACTTTTTCCAATTCACAATACGAAGATACCGGAATACGGATTGATTCGAGAAATTCGAAGCATAGAGCCTCGTCATCGAGAAACTGTCATTCATCGGGCACGAATTCAAATTATATTGGTATAATCGAAGCTCGGAGCACTACCTTCCTCACTGTGAGCGAGAAATGTCATCTGTCGGGGCTCGAAATAAAATTTCAATCTGGAACCGATCTGCTGTTTCTTCCTTCCGCAGCGGAGTGTCGGACTAGGTACTCGAATCAGTTCGACGAATGATCCCCCCGAGAAGAAAACGCCAATTGAAAGAAAAATTCCCTCATCAGGGAGCTTCATGCTTCCTGATGTAATCGAAAAATCAATGGGCCCAATCTGACTGCAAACCCGTTAAACAAATACATATTGCCGCGTCTCTGATCGGCACTCGTTCCGGCCAACTCGAAAAATCGTTGCTGAGTGGAATCGTCAGCTCCAAGTATCAGGCTCACCGAAATCCAGGCGCGTGCCCAGGAATTTTTTTCGGGGGGGTACAGGGCCATGGTCTTGGTAGGGGCTGACTACCGATGATGATGAGCCTCAACATGGAACTCTATGGGCAGGAAAGAGATCTTGAGGGGGGGCATGGTCCCTTGCCCCCCCTGGGCACGCCACTGCCCAGATCTCGCAGGAAAAAATTTGTTCCGGGAGCACATCGAGTGCTCCTTGCTGGAACCGCACCTTCGCGGCCAACTCTTACATACCAGTCCCTCGACGTCTTCTCGTAAACATGCTAGTCGACCGTTTCGACGGAAGCGATGAGACCTGGTGATCCGCAACCCGCGCGGGTTCCCGACCATGCCGCGTGATTCGATTGAGGATTTCGACGAGTGCTTGATACAAGGATGACCTGTCTCCGTTGCGTTTCGCGGTCTCGCAAACTTATCTCAAGGGCTTGGATTAAAGACTCCGACGCAAAAAGACCTTCCTATTTTTAGAAGGTAATTTGTCCTGGATTTCATCATTTAGCTTCCAACATATCAGTTCAAAGTCTTCTCCTAGAGTACTCGAGATGGTTAGTGATTGTGGTCAGCCTCGCTGAGAAGCGCGTGCTCAACTTTCAAGCTTCTCCCTTGACACAGGTCAGCTCAGAGGCTGGCCGATCTCAGGCTCGCCTCCTCCGACGAACGTACAAGTGTTGAGTAGCATGAGTTTCCCATGCACCAACGAGAGCGCTGATGGTTGATGTCTTATTGGAGTTCCTCCCGGTATTGCTGAACAAAGAAGCTGTCGAGTCCAAGTTGCTGTGGCTACGGAACAGCTCATTGAAATCGCCCGCATCGGTCGGCGCTCGCTGCGACTGTGTGCCGCTCTCCCCGAGTCCGGAAGTATGGGGCGTCGCGAGTTCGCGAATAATTCAGGTGTTTAGATGGAGACTTTCCCAGAAACCCTGAACTTTCGATCGCTCTATCCGTCGATACGCTGACGTATCAACACTCGCTCTAATCAATAGAGCACCGGTATTCATGGATGCAGGTCGAGCCGTCGGTGGCGGACAGCGCGACTGCGAGCGATGCTGGCCGACGTTCGGAGAGAGGTACGCTCTCGGGTTCAGGGTTCGCTCGCGGTGCAGGGTCAAACGCGGTAGATTTCAGTGGGGTTCGGTGTATATGATCCATGCTAATTATTCTGCTTGATGTTTGATCGCCTGAAGCCGAAGTTTCTGCTCAAGCTCAGAATCGAATCCAGAAAGGTGGGACATTGGAGAAAAAATCGCCACCCAACATCATCGCGGGAAGCACGTCGTGTATTCCGTGCAGTGTCTCCGCCCGCCCTGAGGAGACTTTCCTATGACGGGCAGCGTGGATCTTTCGAGACAAACTTCTTCGACGGCCCGGCTAAAGTCCTCCCGGTCGCGCTTCCCTCCCGACCAAAGAATGTTCAAGTATGAACGCATTTCCCGACGGAGGCCAATCTTTCGGCAGCTGTTTGTCGGAACAGAGTTATCTTCTCTTGTGAGCCAAAAAGCGGGATAAATGAACACAAACGCCACCAGTTCGAGACGGAAATGCTTTTCCAGATCCAGAAAGTCCAGTAAAACAAGTAAGTTGAGGTCTGACTCGCATTTCTCAGGGATAGCATTTCTGCCGATTAAGCTCTGGGCGGTCTCAACGACCGAAGACGATTTAGGCCTCGGTAGAGACGCTGGGCCAGATGGAAAGCCTCCAGTGAAAAACTTGAATTTGAATATCCGCTATGAGCCATCCTCGGCGCAAGACTCATTAGCAAGAGCGCATGAGTCGGGAATAGCTTCATAGGGGTGACATTTTCGCTGTAGCCCAGCAGCTAGCCCGACTCGGTGCTGAAACATCTGGAAGACACGGGCGTCTGGACCTGGAATCTTCCTGCTACTCCAGTCGTTTCGATTCTCTAGATATTGGATATTGGTAGAGACTGTAGCAGACAGATGAATTTGCATACAATGAGTGATTCCGTTGGATTATAAGGGTCTACATGATACCCGCTTATGCAAGCCCTAAATCCTCGTGCTCGTTTCGAACTGTATGATGTCACTCGGCGGGAAGGTGACTTCAACGTACGTGCCATGTGCTCGATGCGATAGCTTGGGAATTACCGGTAGATCGCATCGTATTCGGTAGAATCGAGGTTGACGACAGTCTTCGTCATCCGTGACTAAGATGCGGAGCGCTTTCCGTGAAGAATAATCAAGGTACGAGCTTCCGGTGCAGAGCCCGGGCATTGTGGGGCCCCGATCACGATACATTCGACTGCGTTGTATCGATCGCCACTGGGAATATGAGGCATACAGGTGGACCCACGGAGGGGGTTCCGAACTACAGTGGAGGATTTGACCTAGCTCCAGCTCGAGGCGTTCCTAATCCGTCAATAATTGGGTCGATTGGAGCCTGCCAAAGAGACGCTGTCAGAGAGAGAAGATTCCGAATCTTCTCGAATCTTCGGGATTGGACGCGGCAGCTGAAGAGCTGTCATCCTACGGTGCTGCTGTGAGATCATTATGACCAAATGTCAGGATGCCTTGAGCTCTCCAGGGCGGCAGAAAAAAACCCAACTTGATTACTCTTCTGAGCAAGTTCACCTGATGATGGTGCCTCATCCAGATTCTGGACTCGGACACCGGTAGAAAGCATCCCGACATTCATCTGCACTCTAACCTAGGATCGAATCCGCGGTGATTCAGTCCGGAACAGGGGCGGCGACCGCGAAACCACGAAGTACCTATAAATTCAATTCGAGGGAGGGATTTTCACGAGCGCGCTTCGTTCCGAGCGAAGCCGATAGTCTCGACTCGAGACCCCCGAGCGGAACGAAGGCTCGCATCCGCGGCAGTCTTCGGGTGCCTACATTTCGATTCCAATTATCACCACTGTTTCGATGGCGTCCGCCTTTGCATTACTGCCCTCGTTTCGGCTGCAAGTCCGGAGATGATATTTGTTGTTACGGTCACCGTGAATGAACTCCGTTCGCTAAGTACTAGGATCCTTTCCTCTCTCGAGCCCTTATCAGATATTGTGATTCCTATCGGCCAAAGAGCTTGTGTGGCATGATCCCCCCGGGCGGGATCACATGAACTTAATTGTGATGTTCGCGTTGCCCGAACCTCGCCGCGAATGTACTTCGCCGGAGTCTCTCGAGAATTGTGGCACATCGCGAGAATTCCTTCAATTTGCTGATCGTCTCGGGTGATTCTGATTCCAAACTGCAATGGCAAGGAATCGAATTCAATGTTCAGACCCGATCTCAGCACACGCTCATGGCAATCTTGTGAGGAGTTCGCACGAATCGAAAGGCCAAGGTGATTCAAGTTCGTGTGTCGATACTAAGCAGCTGCGTCGGAAGCCCCTGGCGAACGATGCTGCCAGGATCAAAGTTGAGTTCAACGGAACGCTTCGCAAGTGCGATTGTCCAACCGGAGCATGCGGCTCGTACCACAGAAAAGACGCAAAAAATGTCAGGTCGCTTCTAAGAGGGAACATCTGAACATCGTATCATTGTGTGAGTGGGTCAGTACGACCAGCAGCCGACCCTGGGGATACGCGACAGGGGTCTCTCGAGCAAATATCCATTAGGTGAAAGTCGACGATTCGGAAAGACGAAGACATGGGGAAGCTGCCTTCAAACTGTTGCCTACGTATTCCGACTCGAAATTTCAACTACATATGAGACCGGAATATCGATCGAGATCGGAACACTAAATAGACGTGGTCCACCGGAAGAGGTGAGCTCCGTGTTTGGACGGCACGAAGTACGGCCTCTTGAACCACAGCGACGAATCGCTCTGACGGTATTCCGAGCGTAGGCTTGTGCGCGGCCGACGAAGCTCTCATAGCTTGGGATCGTCCCGGGTCCGCGGTGGAGTCAATCAAGCTGTGAGCTCGATTTTCCGGTCTCGAGCGCGGAAAAGTCACAGTCGATCCCACTCCCACGTTCTGTCTACGCGAGACACCGGAAATGGATTCCTGTGTCCTTCCTTGTCTCCATGCCAACTCTTCGAAAACATTTATCCTATCGACTTATATCTATTCTCGATTCCGGGATCTCTCTCGCTCTCTCTCTATCTGTGCAATAAGGCGAGTAAACTAGACCGAGATGAGCTCGAAATAGCGAATCGTTCCACGGTCAGTTCTGGACTCCGTCTCGTTATAAGCTCTGGCTATCGACCGCCCGGCGGCTGAAAGATCGATCCTCGCGGATGTGATTTGATGAGAAACTTCTGAATCACCTCCTCTCCCGCATGGTTTCTCGATCCGAATCCGGCGGAGTCGAAGAAAGAGTTTGAAGTGTTGGAGGAGAGTTGCATCTAATCACCGATCAGAAGAGTATAACTCAGTGAGCGCTCTGAGATTGAGATCATTCACCGCAGCGGTCTCCCTCAGAGAATTGGGCTCAGCGTGAAGTAAGTATACTCTCGATGTACAGGTTGCTGTACGACCAAAGAGCTCGTGGAGACGTTGGCAGCGGCACAGAAAGAGCCTTCATCACGCGATTCTAGTCCCTAGCTGTACTCGGCTGATGAGAGACATATTGTCTAGAGATCCCATCTAACACACAGTGCTTTGTGCACCGGTGTAGGCAACGAATCATCCGATCGCTTGAGGACCGGAACAAATCGCTCGACCGAAACGAAGAGTGCTTCAAAGTCGCTCGCGGTTCCTCGCAACTCCTCCGCGCTCCGTGCCTTACTGTTTGAGGTCGACCACTACCCTAAGCGAGGATAGAGACTGGGCTCCGTCTGCTTTTAACACAAACTGAAACCCTAAATGTGGATACTGACGCCAGGATCGTTCGTTTCAGGTATTTGAGTCCGTGGGAGATTGAGTATCGCCGCCGTCAACCAAGTGTCATCTGGTTGTTGTAGACTTTAGTGAACGTAGCAAGATTCTTGCTTACTCGTTGTGACCTTATTGTGAAAACCAATCTCCTGTATTTCGACCGATCTTGTTGATCTGTCGGAGTAACACTCAAAATCAAGTTTCGATTTAAATTGAGCCACTTCACGTAAACCATCGAAAGATGTCATCCTCCAAGCCTGCCCCGGCTCCCGCCAACAAACCTCATTCAGTTTTGCCTTTGTGGATGCGACAAAGCCTCGAACACCTCAGCATGAAAACCAATCTGGAGGACTACGGAACTTCCCCACCGGAAAACGAGAGTCTCTTCCTGCATGAAGGGAAACTCACCAGTTACACATCAAGCTTGACCGGTAAGCTCTCTCTGCATTCCTCGGAATAGATTTCAAGGTATAGATTCCGCGGCGCGCCCCCAGCGGTCGGAAAATGACAGTCTCGTTGCACCGTCTCTGCGTTCCTTATGACTTCAAATCGTCCCCCGAGGAGTAAGCTGAAATCAGGGCCGACGGGTGTATATCTCGAGTTCTGATTTCGTTGACGGGCTTGGGTTTGGTTCTCCGTCTCATTCCACGCGCTCTCGCTGCGGGTGATGATTGTTCCAGGAACTCTGGAGCGTGGTATGATTATCTCCGGTAGCGGCTGAGCTTTGTTGTCATTGATAACAGCGGCTCGCGGTGCTGTTTCTGTTGTCCTCTTTCTTATCTGTCCGTTCCGTCGCTGCGAACCCAGCCGGTTTGATCGAGGACTCTTGCTGACGCAACTAATGTCAGAGTTTTCCTCAAATTAATCTACGGAGTATCGTGAGGTGACCCTCCTATCTGCTGTCGAGCACGATCGATAGGAGGTTTTCGCGCTCCTAGAGATCACTGACTCTGAGGATCAGAAATGCCGGAATGAATATGACGTCGACTCGCTCAAACCGGAAAGCTCTAAATATTCTCCCGCTTTGATATGGTCTCGAGGAGTGACAACACGAGAACCCGTGAGCTCTTCAAAAATCTTTGACCGATAGATATGTTTGGGTTCGGCTTCAATCAGTGTCTGGTCTTTGATTTCGATCTGTTTTGCCAGACGGTGGTGGTGGTGGTGGAAAGTTAGCTTGGACAGCAGCCAGACGAGACTTCCAGACAGTCAAAATGCCCATACCGTCCTGATAATGTTCAGTTTTAGTGTTTCTAGTGCATCTCATGTGTCGACAGAAGAACACCTATCTATCCTCCTCAAGGATCGAGGAGTTATCTCAAAAACTCCCCGTCATACTTCCGCTTGAAACGCCGGAAATCTCAACCCGATCACTTATGAAAACCACGGTCAACACCGTCCTTTGGAGCCTGTCTAAGGAACGTTTCTCTGACCTTTCAGCTCAGCCTCCAAAAGCGGAAAGTGTCCCTCCAGCGAAAACTTCATCTTTAGTTTTCAAAGCTAAAGAACTGGCACCGCGAGTCCCGCGCAACTTGACAGCCGCACCGCAATCCTCCATCATGGTCGGAGATCAGGTCTGCCCGAGCAGCGCTCCGCAATCCGCGGCAACAACACCCTCCGTTTCACCTCAACAGAGCCCCACTCTGATCCGAAAAATCCTCTCATCAGACTCTCACTGCAAAGCCGGTAAGTTATGGAGCTCAACTAGAAAGGCGTAGGCATTCTGCGACGCGGCGCGGGTCTTTCATCGAGCGACTACCGGCTCGTCGTCCACCCTCTTTGCATCCGGTGTCGTGAAATGATCTTCGACGGCAGACGTCGTTCTATCCTCTACTGACGGCCGCAATCGCCAAAATGTTTTGAATGTGTCGTCACGTCAAGACTAACGACATCTGCACACCACCTATATCTTGGAAAATGTCCCGACCAAATTATCTCGAAAGCGAGATGTTTTGTTCTATCTGTCGGATGTTGCTCCGCAACGAACGTAATTGTTCCAGTATTCTGTATGACGATCACATCCTGTGATTCGCGACATCGATCCATCGCCATTGAGTCAATTTCAATATTAATTTCTCCTTGCAGGATCGAAATTATCCGACGGTGCTAGAAAAGTTCTCGTCGTGCCGGTTACGCGCGTGACCAACTTCGACTTGAACGCCGTATCACCAACGTCGTGGTGAAAACACAATAGGAACCAATGGATCGGTTACGCCTCAATTAGTTATTCATTCGATCGTTGGCTTTACATGTATTCGCGAATTCGTTATCGGAGATCAGACACGCTCTGACCGAATCTCTGTGAGATCGTAGCCGAAAGTATTCGGTTGAATCTCCGTTAGTGATGCGGCGTGACATCTTCTGAGTTCCGGTCGCGACCACCAGACTTGAATCCTTGTGTTTTGATTCTCGAAAGCAACGCCTCCACGAAGAATTCATTCTTTGAGCTCTTAAAATAGGATTTGTGTTTGGAGCCAACTAATTGATGCGCCGTGACCCTTCCATCGAACACAACCCAATGCGCATTACCTGATATTAAGTTCTTCCCTATCCGCCTTTGTTTCAATACAAGCGCAAACAAAAACATTCAAACGTCAGTGTATCATAATATCGGGGTTTCGATTGAATGATCGTCTGACCGACATGATCATATCCGAAAAACGCATCCGAAACGGCGAAGATAATCATTCCAGACGGAGGAGCCACTCACCATAGTTCCATTATATCATTGAGATGAAAATAATAGGCAACGATGTCAAGATACCAAGTTCTTCTGCGAGCTAACTTCTGCGTCCGGCATGTCCGCTGTGGCGTTTACTTCTTCACCTTTAGATATGTATTCTTGGAAATAAACTTTATACTCTTCTCGCTAAGCAATTCGAGCCCTCAATCCTGTTCCCAGGTTGTTGAGAAATCGGCTCAGAATCCGGGAATTCCGAGTCCGAAAGAGAGGGAAAATTCGACTGAGCTGTCAGATTGCCGGAAGAAGACTCGGGGTCATGGGAAATCTTGGGACACTCTTGTTTTCCCGTTGGGCGTTCCATCCCAGATCAGATTTATTCGAGCCCGTTCGAGGGGCAGGGAGTGCGAAATTTTCATCGTGTCCATTCGTTGACCATAGACGGATTTTTTTCTTGCTCTATGCATACGCATACATACATATATATATGCATATATATATATCCATCTATCTGTATGCCATAATAAATTCACGAGTAGCGGAATCACGAGCTTCCAGTCCCTTATGGAGGAACTGCGAGGCCTCACGGGCTCCCCTATCAGTGACGCTGTATTCCGTTCCGTTTAGGCCCTCGCATGTATCCGATAAGTCCCACGAGGCATCCTCGAATCAGTGTCGATACTCACCACCTTGACCGAAATTGACTAGATTAGTCGTACACATATCTCGTCAATGAGATTACGAGACGAACTTTCGGCCCTCCAGAGCCTTCATTCGAGTTGCCCCTCACCTAAACCCGCTCCTCGGGATGTCTCCAATGTAGCTGATGTCGAGCGTATTGGCATTCTTATCGGTAGATGTCGGTGTGTCGAACGATGAGTGGCCAGATATCCCACCGTGGTTATGAGTATGCAGCGGTTTCAAGCAACGAAGATGTCCTGATTTTTCCCGCCGCTGTCTTTTCCATCTTTGAGGAAGCCATAGGTCACTACGGGCTTGCGGTCCTCGTCCTCGTCCGGGATGATCATCCGCAGGTGTACGAAGGGAACATTGAGATTGAAGAAGAAACCGCGTTTCGCCCGATGCAGCAGCCCTGTCGGCGTAGGATCATCGGCCTGGTCGGAATCCACTCTGTCTGAAACTTGGCGCGGAAAATTAAGCCAGGACTATTCAGGCTTTCTCGGCAGCTGTGATCGGCCATTTCGGAGTCAAGCTGATCGGAAAATATCCAGGTAGGATGCGACAAGGATAGTGCCAGCCGTGCCGGAATACTTCGAAGAGCACATTCGCTCATATCCCCGATTCAAAAGGTCGATAGAATACTCCGCATATTTTCGGAATGATAAACTTCGAGCTTACGCCCAGAACAATCACTATCGACAAGGACTCCATGTCGCTCCCGCTTCTCACATCCTAGTGGAAGGAGCGGAGATCCTCGATATTCGGAGGACCCGAATCAAAACTCCTCATCTTCCTTCCTTCGGCGAGCGCCTCGCAGTAGGAGCCATCCGAGGGAGGCAGCTTCAGAAACTGCGCTCCTCGACAAATGATTCATGCATCTCAGGAAGATATTTTGGCTGCCCCGCGCAGACTCCCTGGCGATCTCACGCCCGAAATCGGAAATGTCCTGAAAGCCTCCTGTCTCGATTTCGTAGTCGCGAAAAAGAGTCAGTTAAGGCTGAGGTCTCAAGCTGAAAATGAGCTACGATCGAATTCTCATTCGGAGAGATCCTACGTACCCAATTGAGAGGCTGCAAGAGCCAGCGACGTGATCAAGCATACATGCGAAAACCTCCAATTCAACATGATGATGAGAACATGTTCGCTGTGCGTCCTCGAACGGCGCTGGCACGGGATAGAATTACGTTGAGCTATGAGACTTTGCCGAAGCCAGGTGGCATTTGTGGTGAGGGCAAGGTTGGACGAACATATCCGTTGTTATAATATGTCTGACTGAGACATCCATGCCTATGTGACATCATGTGATCCTCCGTCCATACTACGTGAGGATCACCGCAGGCATTCGATTCTAATTTCGTAATCATTAGCTTCATGTAAGGTCTACACAAAGGAGTCGGGGAGCACAGGCTCTGGAGCACCGCAAGTTTATCTCTCCCGCCGATATGACGCCTGCCTATCGAGCTAGGCAAGGATTCAGCTCCATGGACCATGCCGCAGAAAACTCGCGGCGTCGAAAACAGGAACGTGAAGTTCGAGAAAGAAGTGTGCTTTTCAGCTGACCAATCAATCCAGACCGCTCGGCTCTTGGACAAAACAGATCATGTGGCGGCTGTCGATGATGAGGCCGCGTCACTGGGATTCGAAAAGATTGACTGACGTGGGAACACAAATGCCGTAATTCGACCACCCGATCGAAGATGTTGATCTTTCGAATGAAGTCGTCTTCTCTTTGCTCAATGTCCTCCCGCAGTCCTGTTCGTTCGTCGCATTGTGAACCTCCAACGTTCTGAGACCTGCGTCGTCGCCAGGGACGTGGTGCTGCTTCGAGTGTTTCAGTCCAGTCCTCCATTTCGAACGGAAAAATCAGGACACCGGTGTCTCCAGCCCCTCCAGGAGTTCCGGTTTTGAAAACCAGAATCGAAAAACCGGTTAGGCATTCAGAGGACGATGCCAGGTGCACTGGTTTCGGAACCTGCTGGTTGCGGGGCGGCCTTCCAACGCGTCGCTTGAGAAACGGTCGACTCGGGAAAAACTGATGTTTGACTGGGAGAAAACTGGATTGGGAGGGCCTGCCACTCTCGCGATTCCTCGTGGTCGGTAGGTGCCAACACTGTATTAACTGAGCGATTTATTTACGACCCACAGGGATCGAATGAGACTTGCAAGGATATACCTACGTATAGCCTACAACTGAGATTGCCGTAGAATGGTAACGAATGTCGAAAATCATCCAAGTCCGATGCTTGCTGGAGGGATGAGGTTCCGACTATTTGGTTGGTGATATATTTGAACAATATTAGCTCGCAGAGAGTGGTGCTGCCCCGTACGAGGCCATGAGCATCGGTGCACACGGACTGTACGCACGACCCAATCGAAGGCGCCGTGAAGGCGCCGGAGCCTTTTTTTTGGGCCAACAATGGCCTCCGCCTGTCCCGTTGGGCGCCCAATGAGTTGCCGATGGACGTCTCGATGAATGAACCGCAATTTCAGACTCGTAATGACCGTAACAGTTAAACAAGCCAAAGGAAGAGCGAATCCGTTCTTTCTTCTCGGTTAGTTGTATTCTGAGTAATTAATATCGAGTCCCGCTCTTCCTAATTGCCAGGTCAGAGTTCAAGCCGTTCTGCTTTGAAAGGGAAGAAAGAAAAATCACAAAATCTAAAACGGAGCTGCCCTCATCTCGGTTTCTGTACGACATTGTGCCCGAGTTGCTCGCCGGTTTGCCAACGCTTCAGATGAATTCGGGAAGCGAGATTGGTGACTGAGTTATCGGGAAGTCCGAGGAGATGTTCTGTAGAGGAGGATCTGCATCCGCTTGTCTCACATGACTTGAAAGTCAAAATGAAAAAATCAACCAGAAGGGTCATTTGAGCCTTGACGAGTCAGAACAAGAAACTTCGATGCTCTACAGAAGCGTCTCGGGAGTTCCCATCAGATCCTTGTGTTGCCACTCCGATATCCCGAAGGATAAGGGCATCGTCGGATGGGTTGGATGATCCGATCGAGTTCTGGCACCACATTGTTTCCCACGTTTAAAGTAACGCTGACAGAATAAAATTTCGATTTGTACCCTCGAAGATGGATGACCCTTCAAGCCTCGATCTATGCGCGATCGATCTCAAAGAGTTCCAGCGTGTCGTCGAAGAAGCGATCAGACCGTTCGAGTCACAATTTACAGATTCCGAGTTTCGGCGAGGTGGGAGGATATACGCTATAAATTGTTCCTCTGTCAACACTGGTATGTTCTAGGTCAACAGAATGGTTATTGCTTGTCGTCACGATATCGTCGCGGAAGACGGACTAGGGTGGGCTCCCATGACCCGAATCCAACAGAATGAGGACTACTACAGAGCCACCACTACCCGCTCGTCATTAGTGCCGTCGATCGGCGGGGCGATCTTTCGGTAGGATATTGTGGAATATCGATTCTCTAGTCCCCGTGATCCTCATTGCGAGAGGTCAGATCCTCACAAACGGACGGAGCTCGGGTGTTGTCTCGGGTTTCCCGACCTCCGATCCCGAAAATCGAGCCCACCCATATCTCTCGGATCTCATTTTCGCAGGCCAAAGGAGCGGAATTCGACCGACGTTCCTGCGACGAGACCGGTGCGGAATCTCTCATGCTGTGGTGTCGAAATCCTACAACCCGAACGAGACGAACACATATTTTTACGGATGGCGTGATGAGAACTTGTCTTTCCGTATCTAGCAAATTGGAGTTCGTTGCCAGAAGCGTTGGCGTTCGCGGAATAGAAATTCCCCGAATCAATAAGCCTCAGCCCTGGGAGCTTCGAGAAGTTTCTCCGTTATATAACGGCGAATGAGGCACTCCGCGTTTGAAGCAATCATCGGCATAGCACTTATCTTTCGCTTGCGTCTCTTTGCGACCTCACGACCGGTAGATTGTGCCCGAACCCCTGCACCCGTGTCCGTGTGCTATTTTGAGTACAAATGGGGCAAGCAAGCAAGCAAGCGAAATAGATAAAAAGAAGTACATATTCACTCACTAGGATAAACATTGACGAGATCTAGCACATTCGAAAGAATTCACTCAGCTTCGTGTTTCGTAACAGGACAACACTTTCAGCATGCTAAAAATGATCACGCACCGCAGCAACATTATACATACCGAGCATCCGGAATAGATCGTACTCACTACAGGCTACACATGTTTGTATGTCACCGTGGAGATTTTGCGGCATTCCGGAGCCTTCTATCCGGAAACATTGATCCATCGAACCATCGAAGCAAGAAATGAGGCAGGATGCTCCCTTCGCATAGAAGGAATAAGCGAGTCTCCGAAGGAATAAGGGATCCCATAAAATAATTTGTGTCCGCATGAAATTATGGACGATTCCCTGCGGTCGGTTCCTTGCGGATCCTTGTCCTCTTCACTGTGATCATTACGTGAGAGCAGAGGAGGATTTCTGGATTTCCATGGTCTATTGCATTGCGACCTGTCTGAATAAGAAGCGAGAATTAGCAATTCGTTCTTATTCGTCCTAG